CAGGAGTAATAATTATTAATACCCCGTGAGCGTTACAAGCACGCAGGTGATTTATCAAAAATGTCGATTACATTTTGCGCAGGTTGACAACTTTTTGAAGCTGAACTCCTCCCTGGGGAGCGGGCCTAAATGGAGCACCAAAAAAAACACATCTACTGTATGAAGCAGTTTCTGCTTAATACAAAGGCCTGGCACCAGGGGAGATGTTGTTTATGACAAATTCTTCAAAATAAGAGCATCTATCACTTTCATCTCCTGGTTCTTAATGGGACAGTTTTGATCATCTGAATTTTGGATCAAACATTTCTCGAGATGTAGACTGGGAGAGGAAAACAACATCCATAGATGAAGTTGCTAGGGGCCCCTGATGATCACCTTTACCTATAGTTGGTATTCACTGAACGGGCCCTACCGGGTCACAGGCAGAGCACCTTGTGACCTCCATTGGCTTATAGAATAAGCATATTTGAGCCATTGTAACACCTAGATTAAGATCTGGCAGTCATGCAATATTGTACTGAAACTACTGCTGGGTTTTTACTACTACTACTACTACTTTCAATGTACTGAGTCTCTTTAAAGGTCCCATGACATGCCCATTTCTACTGATCATAAACGCATTGTTGAGGTCTACTAGAATAGATGTACATTGTTCAATGTTCCAAACTCACATTGGTTTCTCATACAGCGTCTCTGTATAGTATGTGTATTCACTCTCTGTCCTAAACGGCTTGTTGGAGCTCCTGACCCCCCTCCCTGTGAGCCCAGTGTGCTCTGATTGGTCAGCTCGCCCACTCTGTTCTGATGAGTCCACCACCGTTACAGCGGAACATCAGTGATTATGTGTTACAATGGCGTTTGTTAGCAACCAGAAAAGGACACCAGTAATGACAAACATATGAGAATGCTGTGTGAGGTCTGGGTGCCGTGTTGGCGGGACGTTGTGGGGCTCGCTGCTCCGCCCTTTGAGGCACGAGGAGCGGACAGTGTGAGCTGGATTACTGGTGTCGTTTCCTGGTTGCTGCGTGGGGCCTGCGAGACAGCGAGACACCGCGGAACTGAGCCTGAGCACACACACACACTCACAGCCAGGAGATCCACGGAGCCGCGGCTGAGAAAAGATAAGGCTGAATGTGTGTGCCGGCGAAGCTCCGCGGAGTACCGCGGCTGAGAAAAGACAAGGCTGAGTGAGTGTGTGTGAGGAGCTCCACGGATTGGTCCATTTGGATCTGGGTATCGTTACGTCACTATGACCAGGAAGAAAAAAATGGAAAAAGAAAAATCTCCAACGAGGCGTTCTGGGGCAGCATAGACAGGTCTTTTCTGTGTTCGAGTTTTACTCGTTACAGGGTGTACTTTGAGGGTTTGTGACTTTGCAGACCGTTTACATGCAGAAAAAGCTACATAACACACAAGGGGACGGGTAATAACCGGAAAAGCATGTCATGGGACCTTTAACATTTTGACAAATTCCAACTTCAAACGCTCCTTGATGTTGACAGTCTCCTTTTGTCAAAACAGTTCCAAACAAATGAATATGTTAAAGGTAGGTGGGACATTAATATGTTCTGCAATGTTCTTCTAAGTAGTGGACAAGTAATGATGCTACATCATAGATTTACAAGGCAACACCAAACAGATTTTCTTTTTTGGTCTGCAGAATTGTATTGCTGGATTTACTGTATATAAAGACAAACACATTTTGTTTAAGTGAACCCTACAGACTGGAACTAGAGCCAATCAAGAAAACAACAAAGTGGCTCTAATTTACCAACTCATCCACGGGGGAAAGGCCCAGGGGCACTAGGGGTCAAAGGGCCTATATAACAACGAGTTGCTGAATAGAGAACACAAATTGATTACAAACAGACCTAAGACCACCATCTAACCAAAAACGACTAAAAGGTCAGTACAATTTACCACAACGAGAACCAAAGCTAAAGAGACGCAAAATGACTTTAAAAAGATGCAAAACCAGCACTTAACGATCACAGAGGTGCAAAATGACTGAAAACAGACACCAAAATGACCTACAATTACTGAAAAGAGACACAAAACGACTAGAAACAGATGGAAAACAGTATCACAGTAATGAAAGAAAGACTAAAAGAGGTGTGAAAAACTAAAATAAATGCAAAGCGACACATTTGACATAAATGAAACGACTTCTTCAGTTTGGCTGTCTATTACCGAGGGTGGGGGCCTTCCTACTAGTTTGTGCACAAGAAACCAATTCTCTCATAATCTGTCTATGACCACAACATCATATGGGACCTGAATGAATTGCACGTAAGTGGTACAAATACCCTAATTGTCAAATAGTGAACCTAATGTGTTTGGGGGTGTAACCTCAGAGGGAGTTGCCTGCTTTGCCCTGTCCGTTATAATAAAAACAACAACAACAACAACAACAACAGGTAGAGGAGGAGGCTGAGGTTATTATCACTCTTATTAAAAGGATGTGAGTCTATATCAGCTGTGAGCTGCTTCCACAGTGTTTGTCTGGACTGTGTGTGTGTCTCTATGTGTGTGTGTGTGTGTGTGTGTGTGTGTGTGTGTGTGTGTGTGTGTGTGTGTGTGTGTGTGTGTGTGTGTGTGTGTGTGTGTGTGTGTGTGTGTGTGTATACTGTAGGTAAGCTGAGCCGAAGAGACGCTGACTGTGTTGAATCTCAGCAGCTGCAGCTCCAGACGCCAGAGACACACTGCACCGCTCTCTCTGAACGTTATCCCACCCCCACTCACTCTCTCCATCCTTTTCGCATCTTCACTTGTTTTGTCTCTCGTATGGGGCTCGGATGGACTCTGCCCTGATTTATGGATAGAAAAGCACACAGCGTAGTCACGGTGATCTCTTTCTCTCTGTCTCACACACACAGCACATGCCTGGTCCTTCATTCCCCTGCATGCTATCTCAATCCCTCTCTCTATGTGTGTGTTATATGCACACACACACCCTGACTCCCAGTGAGGTGATGGCTGTCACACTGCTCAATGTTTCCTCTGAGTCAGCAAAAACAGGAAGAGGAGGAGAGTGATGGAGAGGCAGAAAGGAGGGAGAAAGAGGAGAGATATTAAGAGAAAATAAAAATTTAAGTTGAAAGCTGAGTGTTTTGCACCCAAAAAAGATTGCATCACTCAGCAATTTAATCAGTTTAGGAAAGTTGGTGATATGAACGTTATGTAGTCTAACTTTAAGGAAATTGAACAGCTTGTATTGGTATGGCAAGGCGCATTGCATAGAGTATAAACAGGTATATAAAGGTCCCTGACATACAATTTATATGTTGTATGTCAGGGACTACGGATGGAAATTAGCTCAAAGCTAAAATCCGGCATATTTACACTTGAAGCATTATTTGTCTAAAGTGTTCATTAATGTGCATTGTCCCTATATTCAAATAAACGATTAAATGAAAAAATGAAAATAAGTGCATGTGAATGGAAGTGACGCAGTGTTTGGATAAAGGATTAATATCTGTACAGACAAATTATTTAGTTATAGGACAGAAATGTTCAAAATTACGTGTTGCAGGGACACATATTTAAAGATAGGACTTTTTAATCTTTTTTTGGAAAGACAAAAATGCAACAGTCTATTAAAAGCATCATAATAAAGATACTTTCAATACAACTAAATCTAATCAAATAAGATAGTTGTTGGGGTCTATATTGAGCAAATCTGACAGCCTGCAAGAAAATGTTTGGAATTTCTCTCATTTGACACATTTTTGTGACAGCCTTACATATTCAAGTTTTAAATATCAAGATATGCATAAACAGGCTTAAATTCACATATATCGCTGTGCAGTTATCTCACTTCCTTATATTGACATCTTACCGTATACTCTCCTTCACTTGCATGACCCTGCAGCACACACACACACACACACACACACACACTCTGTCACACACTGAATCACGGTGAGTTATGGTGTTTGAAGTGAGCCGCCAGCCTCCGGGTCTGACGGCGGTGTCACATCAGCAGCAACACGGGGTGGCATCTGTGTCAACCCGCCACCCGGAGAGGAGGAAGGAGAGAACACTTAAAGCAGTTTAGTGCGCGTGCACAAGCGCGCGAACACAAAGTGGACATCGAGGGTGTCATGCTCGCTCAAACATGCAGTGTGAGAGTTTAGCTCACCTTGTTGTTCCGTGCATGATGGCATAGAGGCCGGCTCCATCCATCCATCCATCACCGGCTGATGGGAGTAGAGGGATCCGCTGACAGGCGTCCGCAGCCCGGGCAGCGGAGCGGAGGAGCCGGGCGGCTGGTGGAGCCTCTCACAAACAAATTATAGCCGAAAGATATGACCGATGAAGAATAAAATATAGCAGATGGAACACCGACAAATTAATTAAGGAAATCACTAATTAAGAGACAAACGAGCATCAATTATTGTGTATATGTTTTCGTCTTGAATAATAATAATAGGCCTTGTAATAATAATAAAAACAACAAAATGTATAGTCTTTCAAAATCTTTACATCATTATTTTTGACACACTCGTCAACTGTCGTTTCAGATTATTTTATACTATCATAATGCAATCAATTTGATATGACATATTAATAATTCTGTTAGCCTATAATAATTAGGCCTCAATAATAATATTATAGATTATTTTACAATTAGCCTAGCCTACATACATATATTTTATACACCATCAACATGTCCGTTGATGCAGTTTAAACTCCAGTCACTGCGTTAAACTTGATTTTGTTTTTCTCTTTGTCTTATATGAACAGACTTATTTACGTACAATAATAGTAAACATTATACATTTATAAAATGCTATCTAACGGGCTTTTAGGGTGTTTAAAAAAAAAGACATTCTTAGAGCTGCAACGAAACTCGGCTGGCCTTGAATAAGAAACGAATTCGTGACAATCTTACATAAAGCCAATGCTTTTAATAATTTAGTGGCAGGAAGCCTTTTTGTTTGTTGTTTTCAAAATAAAAACCTTTTCTGCAACAATGAGGGCAGCAGCAGGCTGACAGATTTGGGACAGAACTTTTTATTAAACATTATGAAAACAAGATTCTCAACAACGTTCCACTTGGTAGGTTTTTCACTTGTTGACACGTTAGGACACGTTCATTGAATAAATATAGAAATTATATGTACAGATATACATAAACAGCACTGTGCAGAAGTTTGCTCATAGTTCTTTAAAATCTAATTTATTGTAAATAATTGCAAAACGTTGACGTCATATAAAACCAATTAAAAAAGAAATACAATAAGTAACTGAATAAATAATTGTTGGTACCTAATTGTTTTCAAAAATGAATTTGTTACAAGATTCGTTGTGATAATTTTTGTTCTTTTACTGCACGTAAAAGATCGAATATTTGGAGAGCAATACAACACATCTCATATTTATTTACCATTTTCAACTGTGGCCTTTTGATCTACAATTTCCAGCCTGTCTTCCTGTCAGTGCTCGCCACTCAACAGGTAGTCCAATCATCGGACACTTCTGCACAATATTGCACATATATCTAGGCAGCAGAAAACACACGTCTTATTGACAGAATAATGCATCTCCAAGAACAGTAAGCTCTACCGACAGGCAAAGTCTCTCCTCTTCTCAAACCAGCAAGCATCCTCCTATCAGACACAAGCTCTTATTAAGACACCGGGCTGCAGAATAAACCCGCAGGCCCTTAACAAATTCTACAAATATCCAAAGTAAAAAATAAATAAAATCGTTAAACTAATATTTTTCATCATCAGGTTGGTGCATAGAGTTTTAGCAGCGAATGCAGTCCTTGTCCATCAAATAAATGAACCTTTATCAAATTTACATCCGGGTTTTTTAACAGATCAAAGGTCCTATGAGTAGAAAACAAAACGCTTGTCCAGTTTGATCTCTTCTTAGTGCAGTATAGGCTTGCCTTTGACATTACACATGTTCAGTAGGAGGAGGATACCATATACGATTTGCATGCTGTAACATACAAACATTTGTATTAAGACATTTCGAAGAATCCAAGCAACAAAAGCTTTAAAAAGGAGAAAAAGGTAAAATAACACAGGTAACTGTTTTTTTTTTCTCTACACATTATGTACAGGTGGAAATAAATACAGTCTAAAATCTGGCTCAGTTAATCTCTTTTTGTCGTTTTTCTTTTCATTTTAAAACAATAGAAAAATTGATTGAAAATAGCAGTTGAAGACGCATCCATGTTTTTTTCTCGCAGTTAGCAGATTGTTTATGCATTTTTGTCCGCAGTCCTTGCACCTTTCCAGGGGGGAAAAGGTGGCTTTTTTCATACCCAGGCCTTATTGGTGGCAGAGGAGGAGGAGGGAGGAGGGGAAGCGTACCATGGGCCATGCTTTCCATACATGTGGAAGGATTCTGGGAGATGACTGGAGGTTACCATACATGTCCTGCATGCAGGGTTGCAATAAGGGATGGGAAACTATAGACTTGCAATATTGAAATGTCTCTTCTCCGCCTCACTTTCACAAAAAACAGTCTGTTGAGCTTTCTGGAGCCAAAGATAGGCGGTGTATTGCTTTTTCTGCTTCAGTCCAATCTCTCTTTAAAAAAATGCACCGTTCCCCTCACTTTTAAGACAAAAGCATTCTCTCTGAATTAAGACAGTCATGTTAAATGTCACAATGGTTCAATAAGACCAGGTTTTGTTGCACCAGAGGAACAGTCTACAGGCTAAGTGATCCCATGTGCCCAGCTGACAGGTTGCAGCGAGCTTACAGAAGTTCAGCCAAAACATCTTTAAGACTCAAAAATGCGCACAAGGATTACTTTTGTGCACATCTAATGCGTATTTGTTTACTTGTGTTTTTCTTCGAGGGAATAACTGTAAACAAAATACTAACGCAGAAAAAATATATAAATAAAGGTTCTTTTTTTTAAGTGGGGTGCTCAGTCTGCGTTTCTTACATGAAGAACTCGGTGTTGGCCTGTTTTCCGGACGGATCTCTCGTGTTCCCACCGGCCGTGTAGGTCCGACTGGCCAGCTTCTCGTACTTCTCCTTGTAAAGATCCCTCTCCTTGGCAAGGCGCACCACGTCCTGCTTCAGCTGCTCCACCTGGCTCAGCAGCGTGCACTTCTCGGACTCTAGAATGTGCCTCTGCTGGACGCGCTTGAAGCGGCAGGACTGCGCGTAGCCCCGGTTCTTCAGGGTGCGCCTCTTCTGCTTCAGGCGGATCACCTCCTCCTTGCTGAAGCCCCGCAGCTGCCGGTTGAGCTCCCGCACCGTCATGCTGACCAGTTGCTCGTCAGAGAAGCGGTCCTCCAGGCGCGCGTGATGGCCGTGGTGGTGGTGATGGTGGTGGTGGCCCTGGTGATGGTGACCCACAGAGGCCGTGGACAGGTCCTCCCCGACGTACTGCTGCCCGCGGAAGCCCTCGTAGGCCGGGTGGTGATGGTGATGGTGGTGCGCGTTGCCGATGAGGGCCTCCACCGCGTCCTCCGGGGTCAGGTTGAGTGCCTCGGGGTTGATGTGGTGCTGGTAGCTGGGGATCCAGTACAGGTCGTCCAGCTGAGGCTTGCCCGCGTTGCTGTGATTGTTGTTGCCGCTGCTGTTGTTGCTGCTGCTGCCGCTGCTGCTGTTGACCCCGCTGGTGAGGCTCTGGTTGGGCGGCGCGCCCGGGCTCGGAGCGCAGAAGCTCGGCGAGGAAGGCACGGAGGAGCACGGCGTGCTGATCGGGGTGGAGGACAGAGAGCCCGACGGGAGGCGGTGGCAGTAGCGGTCGGCCTCCGGTGGCTCCTTCTTCACCTCAAACTTCATAAGGTCAAAGTCATTGACATACTCGATAGCCAAAGGGCTGTTAGGCAGCTCTGCGCTCATGGCGAGGTCAGTAGCCATGTCTGTCCATGCGACGACTCCTCACAGCCAAACCGACGGCGGGCAGCCCTCCCGGTTACAGATAGCAAGGAGGAATAACAGCCTGTATGGTGTATATATAGACACGCGCACACACTCGGTGCACAGAGTTGCTGCAGGGCCGGCGGGTGGGTGGAGGAACTTATTAAAGCTGCTCGTCCCTAAGACAACTTCTATATATAGTGGCGTGAATATACGTATGCATGTAAATGAACTTGTACACCTGCCAGTTCGCGTCCGCTCGCTGCTCTTGTTGACAACTTATCCCAGGTCAAATGCGCGCTTTAATACCAGGAGCCCCCGGGGCGGCTGAAACTGGAGCCCGGTGAATTTGGAAACACCAACCTGTCTTGTCCTCGCTTCACCTCTGCAGCCCACTTGCTTCCCGGTGATTTACTGTCCTCGCTGCTGCTCGATCAGGTGACAAGAGAAGACTTCTTCGTCTTCTCCTGCTGTTGGGGTGTGTTATAAATATTTTCAAAGCATCCTCTTTCGCCCACCGCTGATTACAACTTCTATAATGAAGTCCCAGGGAGAAGTCACTGCAGCATGGCCCGGATTAAACGTTTCTCACGCACTCAGATCGGTGCAGGACAGGCGCTGCAAACGTGCGTAAAAGTTGTGCCAAAAAAAGTCCCAAGGAATACAATATACAATGCCACGTGCACTCAAAGTTAATATGCATGTAATATTAAGCAGTAGTTGCAGGCATGTGCTCCTTCTGTGAAGTAAAGGATAATCTGCTCCGGTTTGTTGTGGTCCGTCCAGAAATGTTTTATTCAACACAGCCTCGGTCCCCACGGTGCTGTCCCTCCTTACAGGGGCGCGATGCTGACCTTACGTGTTGACTGTGTGTAATATTATGCAAGAGGTGATAGATTCCAGTAGGTTTTCTCTCTCAACTTGTTTTCTAAGAGCGTCACGGTGCAGCCAGCAGTGTCACTGAGACGCTGGAAGGCACTCTCTGCTCTTATAGAGACAGCGTGGCCCGCGACCCTCCCACACTGAGGTGCGACGGGCCAATGGGAGGAGATCTCAGCAGCGCGTTTGCATTCTCCTATAGCAGAAGACTCCACCGGCAGCCGAGCAGAGCCGACAGGAGCCGAAGTGTGCCGGGCGCGCAGGGAGAACAGGTGCAGCAGCAGATCCCCCCCTCTAGTGACCGAGCGCAGGCAACTGCACCGGGCGCGGAGTAAGATGAGAGCTCCGGGAGTTTCTAAGAGAAAAATGTTTACTTGGAACTCAGTTTTAACAGTTCTAAATGTTGTGTCAGTTATGTAACGAGTCTGTCAACATGCATTTAGATTTCACAAGGAATGAACAGGACGTAGATTTTGTTCATTCATAGTATTTGTGAATACATTTATGAATTAATTATAGGGACTTGATTGAATTGATATGTCAGCCTCTTAAGAGTTTTTATTACCATGCGACATGAAACAATTTCAACTTGTAAAACTATATTTGAAACATTTTAATGACAGCAATCTTCATATGTGTGTTAACTTACATTTAATTTAGTATTATACTAAGTGTCGGCTTATGAGATCTTTATTGTATGAAAGGAAGCAAATCAAATCAAATTGTTGACCCCTGAAAAGGATATCCTCGAGGTTAAATTAAATCATTAGCAAGTGAATTGGACATCTATGCTGACACATTGAAAACATATGACTGATGGTTGTCAATGTGTTCTTACACGTTGAAAATAACTCATGCTTTGTATAAAAAATGTGATTCCAAATAAATCCAAATATATGTTTTAAAACTTGTTCAAAAATTACACCTACATAGGAAAGCGTTTAAGTAAGGCAAAAGGTAAAAACACTCTGCCTTATAAGCTTTATTAAAAACAGCTTAATGTATCTGCTTTACTCATTTAGGTCTCTGAAAGGACGCTTCTGACACCACAAACTACCAGATCAATCCATATGGATCGATTTAAGGCCGCGCGCTCGTCTGCCAAAAAAATCAATCCGCATTTCCGCGAGGCCTCGCGCTGGCTGCGCGCGGGTTAAGTATGATTGGATAGTCCTGGCGGTAGTCGACAGCGTTTTCATTCGCAATTAACCACAAATTGCATCCCGTCTCATCTCCACGGATCGACGGATAATTAAGCCCATCCACGTGCGTCTCCATTCTGGACACTTGCTTCCTTTATCCCGAAACGAGAGACAGAGGGTTCTGGGAGCAGGAAGTGTATGGTATCATGGGACTTAAACCCAGACACCGCTGCACCTGACCCGTTTAGCCTTTTCAGCAGCATTCGCCCTCAGGAGTCCCATCAACCCACTAACATGTGAGTGATATATCTGCGGAATAAAGTGCCTTATCTGCGAGAATAATAAAAAAAAAAAACAGGTGGCAGTAAGTTTAACTTGGTTTAACAGGAAAACCTTACACAACTGCTGAGCTTAACTTCCAGTCCGAAATGGCCATGAAATACAACCCCCCTGCCCCCCATACTCAAATCTGCTGGCAAGGATGAAAGGAAGTGTATGAGGATGGAAATCATATCAAGGTATTTTAAGTTTAGGTGCGCTAAGTCATTAGAAGAGATTTCTTCTCAAATAAGCAGGAGCTGGCCATCAAACGCCAAGCTAAGCACTATGCATTGAAATGGCACCTTTAAGAAGATCTGCTGTGGTCCATTCATTGTCAGGGGAAGGGGAGTGTCTGCGGCCGAGGGCTTGAGACATAAATTTGGAAGTCAGGGTTTTCATTGTTCCTTTGCATATTGGGACTTCGCTGCAAGTGCAGTTCTACCGATTTAAGCAAAATGGACATCAGCAAGGTGGGGGATCGTCGGTGGGCTTTCAGCCGGCCGGCAGCGAGCTTTGAGCCAAAGGTAGCCAGCATCCAGGACCAGAAAAAAGGGCCAGCTTCAGGAGGTGGCTCAGGGTTATCTGAGGCCCGGGGGGGTTTTGTCACTGGCATTAAGTCAGTAATGCCGCTGTGGAGGAATCAGCTTTAATTGTGCAGGGATGTGACACGCACGCATGCATGTGCACGGACAGGAAGATAACAGGCAGGCTTACTTTAGAAATCAGGAGTTTCACCACATGTACGAGGCCTCGCTTGTATAGAAATCATGTTTGTTCACCAGAGTGATGGAATGTTTTTGATCTCAAAAGGAGTGAGAAAACAGAATCTGGTCTAAAAAAAGGGAAATTAGAAACTAAACTTCACTGGTTTGTAGTTTTAGTTTTGACCCTGTACTCACCAAGGTCCTGGAAACATGATGACATCCATAATCAGCTGTGGACAGGCCGAAGGCTTTATATTACACCTACAAAGACTGGACAAACAAAAGACTGGGCGATCTGTAGGTTAAGGTAGCTAAAACCTGGAGAACAATGACGCAGTTCCATTTCAAGTCATAAGGAAAAGTGACATTTGCAGGGAGCCTGAAAAGAAATGGAGTTCAGGTAAAATGTTGCTCTAAACTCAAACGTGTGTTCCACGCAGTTTGGGTATTACACATGATGTAAAAGGAATACTTTACCCACAAAATGACCATTTGTATCTATCATGAATTCTTATAGCATGGCTCAATATTGGATGATGAATCAAAAGACAGAGAAAAGTCTTCGTGAATTTCAATAAATGCGGCAAATATTAGCAAAACTGTATCAAAATACCCATTTACTAACCCTCAACTTTTGCCATGTATTCCAAGTCTTACTTATCTTGTATTTTCACTATTTTGCAGTGACATGGATTAACACTAAAACCTTACCATTTAATTTAGTTACACATCGAATGAGTAGTGCGCCTGCCCAAGCCTGACATCTAATTGAAGAAAGCTAGAAGCAAATCAGAAAGAGTGACGGTGGGGTTATCGGGAGTTCCAGAAACATCCTGGCGGGTCAGTACCGTGCGAGCCGATGTGGGTGAACTTAGCTTTACATAAGAGTTTACAGGATTACTAACACTTTGCTGAAGAGAAGAAATGGAACAGCCATAACAATAAAATCCTTCAACACATAATGTCATCTCCTGATGGTCAACACCAACTGAGCCAGACTGGAACAGGATCAGTCCAACTTCGTCACAACAGTTTTCACATCCAACTCAACTATTATCAGCCCATCAATTATGAAGTGGGTCACCATCTTAAAAAAAAGAAAGACAGGGAAGAAAATAATCTGACAGTAAGGTCTGATATGCTTTATTGAGGTAAAGCTTATACTGAAATGTGAATTATCCATGATTATTTTCAGATTAAATTACGTACAATTGTTCTTTTCTGTCTAGGAATCTTTTGGTAGTCAGTTAAAAAGCTGTGACCTTGTCTTATGCTTGAGTATACATAATGAACAAAAGGATGTACAAGGTTAAAGCTAGCACAATAAAGTTGTGACACGCAATTCATGGCAAAAGAGCCATGAGGAAAGGAGGTCTGAGATCTGTAGCTGCTTAAAAAGGCCAAAGACGTGTAAAAAAACGATATTCGCAAATCTAAGGAACTTATCAATGATGTGATATTTGCATTTGATTTTGTTGCGTTTTAAGGCATCTCTCCATCTGGATGAGTACAATGTTATCATGACCAATAGGAAAGATGTCCTACATGCTGTAAATAAGATCTGCGTTGTAAGAAAATGCACTTATCTCTCAAAGAAAGTGAATTTCAAAAGGTAAATCAGCATGGAAAGAAAGGAGAACTTTGAACACACACACACACACACACACACACACACACACACACACACACACACACACACACACACACACACACACACACACACACACACACACACACACACACACACACACACACACACCCACACACACACACACACACACACACACACACACACACACACACACACACACACACACACACACACACACACACACACACACACACACACACACACACACACACACACACACACACACACCAGCTCTTATCAAGTCGCTCCAACACACACACTCACGGGCCGTCTCCACGGCAGCGTTAAAAAATCTTGAAACGCTTCTGCCCATTCACTTTGAATGGGGTGACGTCACTTTTTTTCGCTTTCGCCGAAATGCATTGTGGGCAGGCGAGCGGAAATTCTCAGGATTTTGAAGATCCAAAGTTGAACAATGTTCAACTTTTGAAGCTGAGGAGGAAGCGTCAGCCAATCAAATCCCGTGTACGCAAATCTGACCGTTCAAGCTCTAGCCAATCAAACGGCGTGTATGCTGGGAGAGAAATACCGCAGGTCATTTCCTCATATTCCAAAAAATGGAGGAGAAATTAGCGGTAGCGAATCAATCACCCGGTGCTTTATGACCAGACCTACCGGGATATAAACCGGAGGAGCCAGGCATGGAGGGAGGTGGCAGAGACAGTGGTAGGTTTTCGCCTGTTTTGGGGAGTTTATATCCAGTCGCGGGCGGGAGATTCATGTGATTGGTTGCTCGCAAAAAATCCTCAAGCTTCAGATACGCCCACCTCCAAGATTTTTTTAACGCTGCCGTGGAGACGGCCCGTCACACAGTGAAGAATCACAGTTGACCTTTCCCTTTGTCTCTCCGAGTCTACGCGGACAGATGATTTCTCTCCCTCCGTCTTCCCTCCGTCTCGTGCGCTTTTACAAAAAATTGAAATATTGATCTTAATTAGAGTTTGCCGAGCTCAGCAGCTCGCATTGAGGGTTTTAGACAAGAGGCAGCAGACATCTGTCTAAGGCACTTACGTCTTCAGCGCAGGAGAGGAGCATCGTGGGTGAGGAGGGGGAGGCCGGGGAGGAAGGGGGGGGGGACGTGTGGTGAGAGGAGAAGAGTGATGGCTCCCTGTCTCCTGCCTTTTCTGAGAAACATGTCGAGCTCTCCATCTCCGCTCGCTGCTGTCAATACATCTGAGAGAAAATCGAGTACACACACACACACACACACACACACACACACACACACAATGTGGTGAACCGGGCAGTATGTGCCAATCTGTATATGGACTCAAGTTTTCAGATCATCAACCCAATGATCTATCTTTTGTGTTTGAGGTTAGGTCGACCATAATGATGACACGTGTAAATGCTATCTCAAAATATGCTTTTTTGGAATTTGCTTTGGGTACAGCATGGTGTGATCGCTTTCTTTCCTAAAAAAAGAAAAGAGGATTGATATTAATCTCATGTCTTTGCATTTAGCTGGAGTCAGGGGAAAGCTAGCCTGGCAATGTTAAAAGTAAGAACATGCACGTACCAACTCCAAAATAAGTGTATCTCTGATGCCGTTTGCCCAGTTAGTGTCCCTGAGACGTCTGATGATTTAAGTTCACCATTCGGTTAGGACATATAGAGTAAAAGGGACTAGATTTAAAAGTTTATCATAAAAATGTGGCACAAAAATAGATAGCAGACAGCAACAACACTGTTGCATGAGCAAAGAGGATACGTCGTTATAAGAGACCAACCAAATCAAACGCACCATAACCTTGATTGAATTGCGGATTTCTCTAGGTTGGAACATTTTTGGAAATATTTTGGATAAGGTAAGAACACAACGAGAAGAAACATTCCAGCAAGGAATTTGTCCTATTTTACCAGATGGCTGCCATTATGGAAAGATTTCCTGTAGCTGACCCAAGTAGAAAAAAGTACAACTTTTTTTTTATCGTTATAACATTTCACTCTAAATGTGCATAACTACAAAAAAATAAATAGAAGTCAACCTTTAATAATGTACCCAAAACCTACATGTAAATTGTGTGTTGCAATTTTTGTATATTCAACCATTGACTAAAAAAACATGCCTAAACCCACACAGGTACCCTCATGAACACACTGTTTCTTTAAGCCTTGGCCCTAATCTCATTAGCATGGAGGCAGTACATATGCCTGTGTGTATTGTGTCCTCCTAGGTGTGTATTTGTGTTGCAGGCCCCCTGAGTGTCATACTCCTTGTTTGTCGCCGTGACAACTCAGTTAAATAGCGTGGTAATGCTGTAAAGATAAGGCTCCACGCTCACACACTCTCACTTACACACAAACAGCGTATTAATAGATTTATTAGCACAGGTCTGTACTAACTGCAGAGCAGGGGATGAGTTACTTATCCCAGCATCCTCTCTGTTCCACTCTACAGTCAATTATATCACATGCAAACAGAGATGAAGAAATAAATGTTGTGAGGAATCAAGGTACAAATCTTTTAAACTGTCATGCCAAAGAGGATCCTGCTGACGAGTTTACTCTTAGAAAATCTCGTAAAATTGTCTTCAGTTAAAGATAGGGTAGGTCATTCACTTCAGAAACACTTTTTGTTATATTCCATGGAATGCTCTTAACATCCCGATAGCAATGAATAAATTAAATGCTTTGACAATAAATATATACAAATATTTCATCTGTGGAAGCCGTGGCGCTGTAAAAAGCTAGACCAATCACCTGCTCCGGCCCGCGGCAGATAACTGGATGGCCTACCTGCCTGTCAGCCTTCCATCTTGTGCACAAACTTATTTCGTGCCCTCATTGGTCATGTGTGCGTTCGTGTGTGTTGGAGGAGGGGCTCTGTAAGGAAGTCTGAAGGAAGGGGCAGATTTTTTTCGGTTGTGTACTTTCAAATTCTAGCACACTCGAGCTGGTTTCTCCATTCTTACCTACCCTACCTTTAAGATTATTTTGCCAAACAATTTCTAACATCAATAGTGAATTTTTATTAAAATATTTAGTTCCTCATCCTTATGTTGGCAACAATAAAATACATTTTGGATTACTGCTTTCATTTTGGTTGTAATGTAAATCGGCATGTTTCATACTCATTTTTTAATTTATGGGACAGAATTGGTTAGTTTAAAAAGACCCATCAGTGTCAGTAACTGATGTTCCAATGCATCATAAGGTGATGTGCGATTGTAATATTACATGTGCTGGTTAGTGATTTTAATTCCGTCTGGGGCTTACATTTGAGTATAGAGTGATGCAGGGATGACATTTTTCTATAGGCGAACCCAGCAGATATACAAGGGTTGCTTTTTTTTGTTAGATATTGTATCATTGCAGAAAATAAGGTAAATTGCAAAATAAAACATTAATGATATTTAAACATCTTGTTCAGCAAGATAATCTTTACAATCGAACACCACTTTTATAGTTTCTTTTAAGCGTAAATGCTATTGCCAGAAGTGAAAAACTATGGTTGGGATATAGACGAACTACATGGCGGTTGCATGACTTCCCATCACCACCAACTTGTAATTGGATTTTGCATCAATCGATCAAAAAAAGGATTGGAATTCTATATATATATATATATATATATATATTGATAATTCTACAAGTTTGAGAATGTTTGGGAAAAGAATGCAAAATAACTAGCGTGAACACAAAGATAGGGATGTTAAATCTCTTTTGCCACGTTTTTAGCGACTGCCTTTTTTAATAAAAGCTGTAGGGGTTATTTACTGCCATTTTCAACAAGTTTTAATCTCCTTAAACATTTGTTTAAGACCCTGTCCGAGAACCTGATTCTGGTGTTTAAACAATACATTAATAAAACAATAACTTTGAGACAAGGGGACCGCAAGTACAACAATGCTAAATTATATTTAAGTTTTAGGACTTTAAATCTTATCTGGTATTCTGATTATTTTGCATGAATACCTGCTTGTCCTACCTTTATATTTTGTCAGTTTAGTTTTAGTATCTTTACATTTTGTGCAAAATTGAAGAAGACTTGAATATTTCTGCTAATCACATAGCCAAAACATGTTAAAGCCATCATGGAAGCCCATAAGGGAACAAATGGGGAACATTATAATATGTTGCTATGGTTAAGGTGCTGTCCCGAACAATGATTTATAATATATCCCTTTATGATGTAACTACCATCAAATAAGGTTTTAAATATACTGTATGTGATTGATGGTATTTTTTATAGAACGCAGAAAAAGAGACTTGTTTCAGTGTGTGCACGCATCCTCTTAAATCACACACACTCACAGCATGGTGCGGATGAAGTCACCGTCAGGTCATGTGTCTCGTCCTCCAGGCTTTAAAGTGAGGGGCACTGCTGCTTCTGTCACCACCTTCCAAAGGAAAACTCTCACAAACACGCTCGGGTCATGTGACGACACGGCCGCTCCCAAACAGAGACACACTCGCAGCCTATAAACACTCTCACAGCGCTGACACAAGTCAAAAAGAGTCTGGGAAACACCACAGTTACGAGTTCACCTTTTATTTAGTATTTTTTGAAATGTACAAAACTTGATCAATAAAATCTGCACTGTAAAACACCCAAATTGATATGTAAAACAGATAGATATATATAAAAAAAAAAACGTTCAGGCCCTGAGTGAGTTCATAGGACAGAGACACAGACACACCTGTCAGGACAAACCTGGAGCACAGAAATCATTGCTGAGTCTTTATTTTACCTCTGGTGCGTCTTTTCTCTTTTTCTCACAGCCGAGGCTTGATCTGCAGCCTTTTCTCTGCGGAGGAAAAACAGGAAATGAGTAATGGCAGGAAGATACAAGATGTGTGTATCTGACTCTTATCTTCTGTGTGTTGAATCCTGCTGAAACCCTGAGTGATGACATCTCAGCTGATGAGTAAATGAGGAAGAGGTGTGTGGAGGTGTGTGTACAGGAAATGTGTGTCTGCGTGTGAGGTCGCAATCTGGCAGTGATACATTGCGCCTAAGCTAATTTATGCAAAGTGAAGAGGAGCTTGTTTGGCTGAGTTCCACCTTTAATGAGGCTCTGGGCGGCGCAGTGTGTAAGTGAAGCAGCAGAGTGTCATCAGTATTACTTAAGAGCACAAACTATCCGGACAGACTGAGAGGAGGGACGACAAAATGATCATACCTATGTTTGAGAGTATGTGTGTGTCACAGGGAGAGCATGTAAAGTAAACATGAAGACATGCGGCAGCCCGCCAGATAAGTTCATTTAGACCAGATAATATCGTTAAAGCCATGACTTAAAGGGGCACTTCGCTTACCTGTAGTGTTATATAGGTTTTTGTGCATGTAAATGGTCTGCAAAGGCTAAAATACAAAAGTTCTCTCCAGAGGGAGTTTTCTCCCAAACACTCCCGCCCCCCTGCCTGAAACGCCTTCATTGGACTCTTTTGTTTACTTCCGTTACATAATGACATCACTATGTAACACTCGCTTCTATTGGCTAGCACTCCAACAAATTGTAGGCTAAGTGGCGGGACATCTCTAAGCGGTTGACCAATCTCAACAGAGCAGGCAAGCTAACCAATCAGAGCAGACTGGGCTCTGGTTTCAGACAGAGGGTGAAAAGAGGAGCTGCAGCACAGGCAGTATGAGAAAAATAAGGACCGTTTTGAACATCAAAGGATGTAAACATGTCACAATAGAAGAATAAAATCCCCAAATTAAGCCTGACAATTAGCATAATACGGCCCCTCTAAATATATATTATTTTCCATGACTAAAACACGATGATGCTGACAGTGTTCCTTTGGCAACATGCAATATTGTTGCGACTTTTTGAGCTAGACTAGATTAGCTAGACTGAGATGTTCAAAATAATCTCATGATCAGCGATGGTCCGAAAAAAAACACTTCCCTTTTCTGACTCATAATTGCATTCTGCGGGAAGGTGTTAATGACAAAAACAGTTTAGAAAAGGAATAATGACATGCATATTCATTGGAGGAAAAATACACCCCTGGTTTGTAAAGTCCTTAAAATATAAATAAAATATATTAATAAAAGATACAAGTCTAACACTATGTTTGACCCTGCCATCCGTTAGCTCTTTGCTGCTTCTTACATTTACACTAAGTAAATAACACAAGTATCACATTTACTGGTAACTTATATACGTATATAATAAATGCTTTCCATTCCTGAAAAGTTAGCTAGCAATTTCCAAGGATGTGTTAGAACCATGCCAAGAGACACGAGCAGCTGCAAAAAACTTAGATGTGAGCAGGACATCCTTCCAAACTCACTGGATACCGACATGAAGCAAACACACTTAAATGCAAAAACATAAACTAAAAAACTCTGAGGACACAAGAGAAAAACATTTACTGCACCAATATGATTATATTGGTGTGTGTGTGTACTGTGTGTGTGACTGGGGAAAGTCGGAGGTCAAGATGATTCGGGCCAGGTCAAAGCTCCTGCTCGTTTCCAAGCAGAAGAGACTAAATATAAAATCATGAAAGAGAAGCAGGATTATCTAGAAATGGAAAAGTAAGAGTGACCACTAGGATGCAAATCTTTAAACATTTTTTTAAAGATGATTTCCCCTAAAGGTTTTTCTTCTTTACATTCTTAGTGTCCTTATTTAGAAGCTGATTAGGTTTGGAAATACCTGTGTATGTTAAGACAAGAATGAAATATAGAACAATTCATTTACTCATTAACTTATTAACTGTCCAAATCTCATAACTAACTGCAGTTAAGATGAGATTGATGATCCTCCTCCAGCTTTCCACAAAGGCATTTACAAATCTACCGTGTCTCTTCAAATAAAAACACCTCTGTTGTCTTTTTTTTCCCCCAGATAAAATATTATATTATTACTCCGATTGCTTGACCAAATTCCGCAATAAACCTTATTTATTTGAGCAAATCCTACAAAAACGACTGAAGAACATTTTTTTCTAAGGAAGCAATATTACAATATTGATAACTGAAGTGTTTGGTAAAGTAGTGCGTGGTATAACCGGTTAAATTCATGTGAAAGGGATACAATTTTTCCTTGCGAGCCAGCATGTGTGTATCTATGTCAGTGTGTGCATGTGTCCAGCAGTCAGGGGCAGGTGGATGGTCGTGCCTGGTGGGAGGATGAGGGGGGGTTGGGGGAAGAAGAGGTTTGAAGAGGGGAGGGTTCCCTTTCTCCTAATCCTCTATCTGTCATGTCTGTCAACAGAGAGCTCAGCTGTGCCTCGGGCCAGCCTAAAACCTAAATATTATTACCTCTGTCCTCTGAGCATTATTACTCCTCCCCTGAGCATCATCACACTCCACAGCGCGGCTCTGATCATCATTATCTGTCTGCAGCTCAGACGAATCACCACTCCCCATTCTCATGGACTCTGGGAATGATCCTGGGGCTTTCAGGACAAACATGATCCTTCCACAAAACGTCTCCGGACAATTACACTCCACACTCAGCACTTTTACACTGAGTGAAGCAGTTAGTCCTCTTAAGGAACATCCCATTTGTTGACAACCTACATGTTCTTTTTCCATATCAATTAAAAAAATGTATTTGCCAATTCTGTAAATGTAAAATCCAAACATGGTCAGAATTGGCAGTTTTTATTAATCTCAACTATTCTATTCCTTTTAATCGAGTTGAGAGGGATGTGCATCATAGTTTCTCAGAACTATTAGTCGCTGATGTCATAAACAAACCCTAAATATTTCTGATTAACTAAATCTGGTGAAGAAGATGGAATTGAGTGCTTTTGTAATATCAGTAATAATCCCCACGGCACAGGAACTAAATGTGTGAACAACAATTGTATGTAGGGTAGGATAAAGTTGAATTAACTTAACAAAGAAAATGTCAAAGTTGGCCTGATTGTTTTGTGTTTCGGTCACCTTTAACCTGTGAGGTCTCAGACAGCAGCGTGACCGGGGCGTCCGCATCCTCTGGAGAGCTGGAGAGGGAGATGAAAGAGGGCAGTGCCAGAGGACCTTTGGTGGGCGTCCCTGGATCTTCCTGAGAGTCCTGAGGGATGACCACAGACAGGCGGGGCCTAGGGAAAAAACAAAAACAAAAACAAAAGAAAACAACAAATTAAACAGGATGTTAAAAGATACTAAAGATATTTGTATTGATCTCTTTTTGTACTTTTTTTCTTCTCTTATGTTGGTTATGTAGATACAGCTAAATGAAAATGGAAAAACTGTTGACCAAAATATGAACATGTGTGTATAATGAAACTGAATCTGAAATAAAAAAAATAACAAAATAAATAAAAAGATGCCACGTCCGCTGGCCAATTTCAATCGATAATTTAGACTAGTAAGAAACATCCGCAATACATACTTGGGTGTTTATTTTATAACACTTTGTCTAGTTGCCACTGTAGAATGTTCTTCCAGTAAATGTACTTAGTAAGAATTAGATAATGCGTCATTTGTACATTTTAACCAAACATTTCAGAGAATGTGTAATACAAAAAATATTTCTCCAAATGTAAGTATGTTTTAGGCTGGTATATAATAGTTCTTTATTTCTACCCTTTTTTTACCCGTTTCGACCTGCAAAATGTTATAATACTTATCTTTCAGGATTTTTTTTTCAAAAACAGTATTTTTCTCGTAATCTGAGCCATCCAATGTTTGCATTTCTATTCTAACAATAAAAGCAATGCCTCATTTGCAAAACTTGTAACAAAACAACATTATTGTCTTTAGGTAAGTAAACAACTGAATACGTTTAATGGTGGCATCTTGTAAATAAAGTGTTTACCCTATTCCCCTCCAGCGCTTCATCTTAAACGTATTCAATTCATTTAAATTATAATTCTCGCCAATTATGAGTGATATCTGTAAACTCTGCCTCCCTGACCTCTTAGCCGGCTCCTTGTTCCGGCCTCTCTTGGCCGCGGTGCTGGAGCTGTTGCTGGCACTTCTCTTGGCTCGTTGGTGGTGCTGCAGTTTGCAGCGGGCTCCTCGAGGGCAGGATCCCGACTTAGAGAAGTCCGGACACACCAGAGTGTGTTTCTTCTTACACTGGGGGTTAGAGACGGGCACATTTAGACACAAAGCCACAGGTTTGTCTTGTTTCAGCTAATACTTAAACGTATGGCTCGAAGCTGCTTGTGCTAAGTTAATAACCTTTTTTTCCAAGACCATTTGCAACCAACAGAACAAGTGTGCACTTATAATCATAAAACCTAAATAGATTGCATTTATATAATGGCCTTCCAGTTTGTGTCACCTCTAGACACTTTCTGCCATTGGGAGCAACTTGGAGTGAAGCATCTTGCCTAAGGAGACTTGGGCTAGGGATAGAACCACCAACTTCTGTTTGGTTGACAACTGCTCTACTTCCTGAGCAACAGCCACCCTTCATGCCCCTTTGTGATATAATAACATCATTGGTTTCATCATAACAAGGATGGAGTGCAGCACTTTTAAGTCACAGATCTAAACACTAAATAAAAGATACAGGCGTTGGGCGATTGGACAATTATATGGTACTGTTGTTTTGGGGTGATTTTGAGCACTTTCCCTTGCTAATTTCAGGGTATATGCAGGAATCCTGAAGTCAAATGTAATACCTTTTAAGACCTTTTTTAAGACCCTTTTCATACATTTTAAGACCTCATCGCCACTTCGAGTTTTAACCGGTTACATTGGCGACACACTTTACCTGACATTTACTATATACAGTATTGATTGTCCTTCCTCCTTATCTTCCAACCATTTGGACGCAGACTTGCATTTCCCCATAACGATGTTGTTTAACAACCGGCGTAAACGGACCTTCGCGCGCTATCAAGCAGTGAGCGTGCGATGTCCTGTTCAGATGACGTCAAATCCAACGGGATGCCATAAATAAACTACACAGAATCACACTACACACCTACGCAATGATTACATTCAGGCAGACTTTAGAATACAACCTCTTTGGACAATTTATATACTTATTGAAAACAAGCTACAAAATGTAATACCTTGGAAAATGCCGTTTAATACTTTTTAATAGCCTTAATTTTCGCTAAATTGATTTATCAACTTTAATACTTTTTAACACCCCACAGACATCCTGAATTTAATGGTGTGACTCTAAAGAATGAGTTAACTGCTTTACGTCAGCTGGCCCAGAAATCAAGCAGAGTGTGGCGAAAGGTCTGGCTACGTGAAACCTTTCAGCAACTTTCGCAATGGTATGCCTGTTCTACAGGAAGGCAACAGAAGACGGAGAAACCAGGGAAAAACAGGGAGTGGAGCCGTCATAACTTTAAATAAAAAAATTGTTGAATTAAGGGTTAAGGGTTTCGCCCGGAGAAAACATTGGGAATTCTTGGGAAACAGGGAAGGACTAATCCAAATAGTTTAAGGCGTATTCTAAGATGCATTAACATTTAAGCTAGTCATTGGTGTACAGTTGTATTTTTTTGTTAAAGATAAAAAATGGTACGAATATTTCACACACACCCACGTGAGACTCGGGGCAATGGTTGGCTTAAAACGCCCGACCCAACCTTTTAGAACGATGTTCTTGACCATAAAAAACATTCCCTCAAAGAGATTTTCTTTCTTGAGAAGCGCTCCAATGATCTCATCCCACTATGTTAAACACTTGTGTGACTGTTTTTGGAAACTGAGGACATAACCATTCTTTTGTAAGTTTCTACTTTCAAGAGATACTCTTTCAGTCACCCTCTCCTCTAACATGCACATTGAGCAAAGTGGGTCACTGTTAGCGTCATTCTGGCGAGTATTGTGCATGAGAGATTGAGCTTTCACATGCATGTTTGCAACTTGAGTGGATGACAGTGTAATACGGGTGTAAATTGGTAGCTTCATTCTCCACGAGATCCGATCCCTCCCACCTGTCAGAAAAGCTAATTATATTCACTCTGGGGTGCAGGCTGCGAGGAGTGTGTGTGTGTGTGTGTGTGTGTGTGTGTGTGGGTGTGTGTGGGTTGTGTGTGTGTGTGTGTGTGTGTGTGTGTGTGTGTGTGTGTGTGTGTGTGTGTGTGTGTGTGTGTGTGTGTGTGGTGTGTGTGTGTGTGTGTGTGTGTGTGTGTGTGTGTGTGCAGGGGTGAGGAGTGTGGTACTGGGGAGCAGATTGGTCCTGAAATAGAGTGTGTATCGGGGGATGTGTGTAAAGGATCTGGAGATCGATTTTCTGGGACACCGTGGACTCTTAGTAAATTCTCTCTGGGGCCCAGCAGCCCTGACTCGCTGCCACCAGAGCCCCTCTCAGGGCTCTCACACCCGTGTTTCTGCACCCCTGGGTGCCAGGAAGGCCCAGGGTCAGCTCGTGGACAAATGTTTCTCTGGATCATCTTATAGGGCTGCGGTTTTGACACTACATTTCGCTCCCTAAATCAGACCTCATGCCGGTGTCGATTTTATATTTGGTGTCTGACATCGCTGCTGAGCCTGTCAGGCCAACACAGGGCTAAGAAATACGCTAATGTTTATTATTTTCCTGTATTAATCGTGATTATTATATTTTTCTTAATATATAAAAAGATAGTTTTCAAAGATGCAAAAATTCTACTTTTTTAAAATTCTGATCCGATACCGTGATCCGTCTTTGGATATCTGCCAACACCAATATAATTCTGAAACCAAATAAATCGTAAATAGGATTCATCTTAACAGTAAGATTTAGTAGTGTAATAACATTACATTAGATTTAACTTATGCTTCAAAAGTCATAAAGATACAAAATCAGAACAGCAAGAAACCTGCATGTACATAAGCTTCAAATAAGCCAAACTATTTTAAGTCCTGGTGCATGTTCCAAAAAAATCATCTAAGTATATACTACAACTTATTTAGCTTATTTGGTTTTAATTTAGTGGGGTTTGAGTCTCTGACAAAAGATGTGTATTCTTTGGCCGTCTTTGGAGCCCAGAAAGCAAACATGCATCTTTTCAATTGGCGTTTCCTTGGTTCAACTTGCAGTGAGGCAGTAGGGAGTCAATTAGTTCAGAGCATGTGCACATGCTGGAGTGTATGGCTTCAGTGTATGGAGTGCAAATTGCAATGGGCGACTGTGACGTAAGTGCGATATTCGATGAGTTCTGTTAACTGTTCATTACTGTTTTTTAAAGTTACAGTTCCTGTGTCACTTTATATTTCCATATAGGATAAATGTGATCCTGGATTTTAATCACAAGCGACCAGTAAAACTTGATCTGCTGTGATACTGATGCTTTACCTCCACTGAGGTGCAATTAAAAAAAGCATTTACTGGCCCCAGGTACAATTAATGAAAAATCTAAATATTCTAACTGATTCTGTGATCAAAAACTCTATATTTATTAAATTTATTTAATTTATTAATTGCAAGCTGTGCCCTTCACATTATTATACAATTATCTTTAAGTCATGTATGGCTTTAAAAAGATAAACCAATGAATATTAACATGTGTTGCTGTTTTTATAAAATTGCACACTTTCAAAGATGGATGTCTTGTAGTGAATACAAACTGGGATCTCAGTATTGCGCTTCTCATTATTCTGATAACCATGCAGTCCAATGTGTCGCGGTACAACCTCACAATTCTGAAAGCAACTTTGCAAATCTTAAAACTGAGTGCATATCATACTTATTCATCAAAAAATGGTCCAGAGAATACTTCGAAAGCTGCTGCTATGCGGAAACCTAAAATATTCACTTTAATGTTGATGTGCACCTTTACATTTTTTACTTTAAAAAATGTATGCGTTCTATTCAACAGATAAGGGTGACGGGAACAGGGGTTCACAAAGCTGAAGCACTTTGAGTGTGAGAAACAAATTGTAAGAGAAATTGACTGTAAAAGCTCAGTCCTCTCCCTACATCTCCATTCATCCTCATTTTCATAAAAAGAGAGAGAGCTGGGAAATGGGAGGAAAAAGCTAAAGTGGACAGAACATCTTTATCCCACACCAAGTTAACAATTTTCCACTTGATTTAAAGAATGCTGGGATGTCTCTGGGGCCTATTAGAGAGCTCTCTGCTGTGCCAAAACCAGGAGGAGTCAGCACATTTACGACGAGACTGAGAGAATGAGCAAAAGAAGCAAGAAAGGAAGAGGGAGGGAGGGAGGGAGGGAGGGAGATAGAAAAGACAGTAACATAAAAAATTGACATCACATGCATTTACATCTTGGGCATTAAGCCGACACTCTCGTCTGAAGCAACTTACAGTGGGTTCAATAGAACAATAAATGAGTTCAGGTTGCTAGGGCAGCAACAAAGAGATGGTAATGTTAAGAAAATGAAAGTTCACACTGTCAGTAGATCTTAGGTCGTGTTCAGACTGATATTAGCATTGCATCAAAAAAGGCAGCCTCCTCATTCATTTCAATGAGACAGCTATTGATGCATGGGAATTGGACACAGATGCCGCTGGTGAATTATTAGCACCAGAGTTGTGTAAAATCTTCCCGAACCCAACAAACTCCAGTTTTACTTCAGGTAGCCAGAATTGGGGACGAGGGTGGATGATAAATCAGAGACCCGTAAACAATTCCGACCTTAAGCAGTCTGTTTTGTGTTCTTAGTTTCAGAGGTTGTAAATACTTGCTAACGCAACGCTGCTTAGGATAACATGACCGTGGCTAAGGAGGATCAAGGGAATTCTTGTAGTCATATCATTCCGCAAATATAAGTTTCGTCGAATTAACATCATTTTTATATTTGTGGAGAGCACCAAACTTTGGATTCATGATGGCTAAACTGTACCACAAACAGAAAAGAAAAATCAGTGCAAGAGAAGGAAAGAGGACAAAAGACAGAGCGTTGGATGTCAGAGAAATCGACAGAAGAAGACAGACAGGAAGTAAACACTAAAGGAACACAGTATGGGCTCTGGTGTTGTCTAAAGACTGGTTCATGGAACAGAAAATGTGAGCAGACTTGGACTGCAACAGAAAACTTCAATCAGTGATGCCATCATTTTAAATGACATTGCTGTCGCCGCAGTTCAAGCAGTTGGTACGCTGTGGAATGGACTCTTTTTTTAATACAATCATTTCTAAGTCAATAAAATCCTTTTTAATCAATATTGTGAGTCAAGTCATTGGAGTATTTAGTATGTGGCCGCGTAATAGGCTTCGCGTTGGGCTCAATGATCAGTGTTCTTTTTTCATTGATGACCGTAAAATAGCTTTTGCGGCAATTATCTATAAACATCTATTGTAAGGTACTTAATATTCATTGAACATGTAACTGAAATTGTAATACAGCCTACTTATGTCATTGTTGGACAAAGTTGACTCGCCTACATAGTAAATCTAAATAATTGTACACAGTGTAAGAAAATAAAAAGAAGGGTAATGATGATGTGAGGTTAGTTGGTTTAAATGTAAGGGGAATAGGAAGCGGGTATATTGTTTCCTGTATGTGAATGTGAAAGGGGTGTTTAAGTACAGCCCTGGAAATTAAGAGACCACTCCAAATGTTTCTTAAATCTCAATCTCTACATGTATGGCATCCATAACAATCCAGTGTTTGTGGAATTTCAAAACAGAGAAATTATGGTAGTAGTAGTAGTTCATAGAATAAAATAATGTACATTTTACTGAAGGACATACCTATAAATAGTCAAACCTGATCATTTTGCAGTGGTCTCTTAATTATCCAGAGCTGTGTATCATAGAAATTAGCGGGCTTTCAAATAACAGGGACAATATGAATGGCTGGAGTAACTCTCAGTCATACATGTGCACTTACAGAACAATATTTAGTTTAAACTGCCTACAATTGAAAATATGTATTTCAAAAAATGAAGAAGGCCCTGTGACATTTCTATTTGAGGGGTCCAATTAAGATAAACTGCTTTAAGAAAGGTGAAAACTACAGATTAATTTGGCTAAACAGCCAATCTGACAGCTCTCTATTCCTGTTTCAACATGCTGAATCAGTCGAATGGCCATTGATCAAATCCATTAAGAGATGACTATGGCCAAAACTATGGATGGCAGTTGGCCACAGACGCTCTGATGGCTGACTGTCGGCTTATCGTGTCAAAAACTATATGAGAAAATGGACCTGATACCGGAGCCCCATTTGAGTTAATTGGAAAATTGGAAATAGTTAAAAAAACAGCATGAAAATGTATGCTGTGAAGTAAAAAGAAAAAAGGGGACAATTATGATACCAGAGATGGATCCCGGGAGGTGGAGGGTGAGCGTGAGACAAAGCCAGGATGAGGCAGGAGGAGGATGGAGGAGGATGGAGGCGAGGAGCAGACTTAACCCCTGAGCTGCCGGAGTGTCTGCCTGGCCCATAGTGCCATCCTCAGCAGTTTTCCCATCTATAATTACTGCCTGCTATCCATCATAGAGCCACCAGAGCCTCACAGCACAGCGCTCCATAAACACACACGCAAACATACACACACACAGGGGGGAAAATCACAGACCTAAGCACTTCAGCTAATAGAATAAATATTAATATCCCTTTTGTTTTCTATACCCTCATTTCCCCATGCACTATTTAAATGAGGTCTGACAGTGTGAAAAAGCATCTGTTTCACACTCCGCGCTCCAAAAACAAGCGGGGAAAGGGGGGAGACAAAGGGAGGTGAAAACCCAAGAGGGGGAGGAGTGGAGTGTGTGTTTGAGGTGGCCACAGGGACAGTGTGTTTGTGTGTGTGTGTGTCGGGGGGGGGGGGTCATGTGTAGGTGGCTCTCTGTTACCCATCAGGCCCACAATGTGTCACTCAGACACTACAGTTATGCCATTATGGACCACCACCCTCTGCAGCTGTTGCTGCCTGTGTACATGTGTGTGTGTTTGTGTGTGTGTGTGTGTGCTTGTGTGTGTGTGTGTGCGGGGAGGATTGGTTACAAAACCACTTGTTTACCTAAGCCTCAGTTAAACTTCAGTGGAACTGTATACGTGTTGTACAATATAATTATACGTTCAAATGAAGACAGCTTAGACGAATAATTGTACTTTAAGTGTTGGCATCTACGCAGCGCTAAATACAGCTCGGAAACACTTTCTATGAAACCCATGTCTATAATGCATCAGAGACATACCCATAATGTTTTATAATCTGGGTTTAGAACTGTTTAATACTAGTTTTGAGAACTAATATATGCTTTATGACAACAATTTAAACGACTCATAAAGTATCATTATACTCCACAATTTCTGGTCACACGGATATGTTTTTGCAAGCAACATAGTGAATTATACAAAAATAAATACAATATAATCCCTTTATAATGTATTTTAATAATTACAATGATGCATTGAAGTGTGTTTATAAGTCGCTTTTTAAGTCATCATAAAATAATTTCACTTTTGTGTGTTCTGCACACTGCAGAAAAAGTGCTGCAAAATATCATAGAACGTCACCGTCACCTCACTTAACCTTTATACAGTCAATATGAATATTTATGATTATAATGTGTTTATCACCAGTGTTTTTAACTGTAATTATATAGTTCTATAAATGGAACAAAATGCATTGTGAACATGGGCGTAACAGAAAGTGTTAACTAAAATCCTAGTGAGGTCAAACCAATAGACATTGTATAACGAGAGCGGAAGCAATCACGTGTATTTCATTATACCGCAGTGATACAGGTGACGACAGTCTAACTGAATGGTTCAACACGTGTCAGCTGACCAGTGTCCAAGACCCCGCTGTGACCTGGACTGAGCGCCGGTCAGATGGTGAACAGGTGTGTGTACTTGGAATAGAGGGAGATGTGAAAGTGAAAGCCTTCTTCATGTGGGGCTTTGAACTTTATTGCTTTTTTAGCAGAGCGTCTTCTACATTTACACATGTGACAACAGGAGGGTACCCTGTGACATCTTTCTCATATGAATGGGTTATACTACATAATGGAACTAGGTTGTTATTGAGCAGTTTAGAAGAGGGACTTTTTTCTTTGTAACAAACTTCACCCACAAACTCACAACAAAACAATTGATAGAATTGGTTGATTGTAAGTTTGTTGCTCTGGTCATGCCTGGATAAAGAAATGCTCATAAAGTAATGTCACATTGAGCCTGCCTCAGATGGAATGTTTCTGGTGTGTTGTGTGCTACCTTCTCTCCTTCAGGACAGTAGCCTTTCACAAAGTCCTCACACACTTCGGCTTTTCGGGACACGTAGACGTGGCTGTAGGGACAGTCGCTGTTGTTACAGATTCCCTTCAGGAAGTAGGAACACACCGGCATCTGGAGAGTCAAACACATTTATGTAAGCAATCTAAGGATGGAAAATGTTTCATATGACTTGACCAAGAGATTGTGAAAAGAGGTATTCTATCAACAATTACAAACATTCTACTATATGAATCTTTAAATAATAACATAGACCAACACAGAGAAGAACATGGGGGAATATGAGTAGATTCTTCTTTAGATATGTCAAAATAAAAGGACTGATCTGTTATATGGAGGGGCTGAAGTGTCTTCCAGATTACTGGCAAAATGTTGAATAAATTAAAATGTGGGCATCAATCTGGATCAGACAGAATCAAGTACTATTGATCCTGAGCATTCTTCCTCAAAAACATCAGACATTAAATTGAGATTAAGAAAGTTTCCTGGTAAAAAAAAAAATCTGACATCCAAAGTTGGGCCAATAAAGAAAAAGGTTAAAATGGTTTTGTATCATAGAGAAGCTTACACAAATAAATCAGTAAAAAACATTGTTGCTATTTTTTTTCTTCTTTTTAATCTTCAATTTTCCATTTGACTTTTATCCTCCATGATCGTCTCCCTGTTAATTTGTCCAATTAGAAAGTAGCCGATGTAAATACAAATAACCCACAGAGAGCAGTGTTAAATGTGACATGAGATTATACGAGTTTGTTAACAGACATGCTGTTCTAAAAAACCCCGTCATGTAGAGTTCAGACATGTCCTGTGTGCCAAGCAATGTCACGCTGAGCAGTTAAATGACCTTAATTGCAGTTGACAGCAGCAGAGTCAGAGTGAATGTGTGTCTTGACAGCATGTGCGCAGTGTGTGTGTGTGTGTGTGTGTGTGTGTGTGTGTGTGTGTGTGCGCAGAGAGATCTACTTGTTGGTGTGCAAGGGCATCCTAGTGGATGCCGGTCTAAATATACCTCTGAAGGGGATTCGGTGAAGAAGGAAGGGGGGTTGGGGAGTTTGGGGGGGGGCGACGACTTAGGGAGGCGGAGTGTGAGAGGGACTCCACCTTGGTGGGATGGGATCAGTTCGACCTAATTAACTGCAACAGAAATATGTATCCAGGCTGCATCTCGTCCAGCTCTCATGATGTGTTTATGTGCTCTCGATGTGTGCACAGACTGGGCAAGTGGTCCCAGAGAGTGGAGGAGTGGAGGGGTCGGGGGTAATGCCAGGGGAGTATGCTCAAGAGGGTCTGGTTTCGTGGTATTTGTGGTAGTGGGGGGGGATGGAGGGATGGTGGGGTGCAGGATTCAAGATTCGGGCTCACCTATCCACACTAGTGCCCAGATCGGGTTCGGAGGGCTGCCGGGTGCATAACCTCGCACCCCCACCCCCCCCCCCCCCCTTTGAGTTCACCTCACTTCTCGCCAGGAACCCCATACAGTCCTGTTTAAGGGGTCCACATGTAATAAGAGCGGGAGTATCCTGTGGAGGGATGGGCCAAAGGTTTAAGGGTGAGGGGTAGGGGGGCGCTGTAGGAGAGGTGGCATTACAAACAGACAGCTGGGCTCTCAGCACTTACAGGCCGCAGTGTGTGACAACCAACACAGGTGCAGGGCATTGTGTGTGTGTGTGAGTGTGTGTGTTTGGAGGGTGAGGCAGAGCACCTGTTGTAGGGTTGTTTGTCTTAAGGGGGTAAAGAAGTTAAAGAGAGCTTTCCCTTTTTGAGTAGCTACACTTTCATCTACCCTTGAGTGACCAGTTGTCCAATATTTCCGGTAGGGTCCCCCTTTTTTTAAACGGTGTGTGTGTATGTATGTATGTATGTATGTATGTATGTATGTATATATATATATATATATATATATATATATATATCTATTATAATAAGAACAATTCAAACATGTGTCACTTCAGCTACACAACAAATATAACAGTTGTTGAGTGTGGGAAGTGTCCAGGATTCCACAAAAAGCTCTTTTTAAATGTTATGTGTGCACCTTCTGGGTATCATAGTCCAGTGCATTTTGCCATGCTTCCCATTGGGACGCATTTATGAATTATTATGAATATCAAATTAGCACATGTTATTACAGAAGTATGCACATTGAGAGAGAATTAGAGAACACTGCTGTCGAAAGAGCAGCAGTGTTCAGCACGTAAACCCTTACCGTTTGACTGTTTTTTTTTTTTATTGCGTGTTCAATAGCTGTAAACTATTTCCAAAGTCACTTGTTTGGTACCCATTTTTTAAGTCAGCCTGCACCATAGTTTATTACAGTACAACAGTTTAGATGGTCAAATATTAAGTACCAAAATGATTGCCAATTTTTTTAAAGTACATAGATCATAACATTTAATATGTTTTTCATTTTAGAAATCTGCTTCAGAAGTGTTAAACGCACACAATAAGCATGCACTTCAGTGGTTTGATATTGTAAAAAAAAGAAGTTCAAATGATAAACAGATATAGGGTCATACTGTGAAATTGTATTAATAATTTAAGTATTCCAACTTACAAATATTATCATTGTTTATTATTATGGCAATTTAATTAATAATCGTATAGTAGCTTGTCGAAAATGTGAATCATTATTTCCAGAGCCCAAGTAGACATTTCCAAAATTAACAAATCTTGTGGAAGTTTGAATTTGCAATCAAAATTAATCTTTTTATCTACTGAATAAATGTCGTCATATTTATATGCAGCCTAAGATTGACTGAGTTGCTGTTGCTACCCAGGAGGATAAGGTGTGTAACCACAGGTCTGCGCTGAAGATAATGTTCCATGTTGATTTATGTGCAAACCAGAGCGAGACCGATCTGTGGTAACTTACACTTTTGCCACTTTGTTTTTGTTTTCAGCAATGTTCACTTATAGTTATACACTCTTTGATAAAAAGGAGTTGACGAGATAGAAAACAAGCAATTACGCATCCTGCTGGGGTGTAGATCCCAAAAAGTGACAAGCTCTAACCTTTAGGATGTTCCCATACCCAAGACCCCCCCCCCATTGGGTTAAGTATTCCTTGCTCCTTCCCATGTCATGGAAAATGGACATGTTCCAAGAGCACAAATACAATCCTTGATGAATGTACCCAATGGTGTCATCTTATACCAACACATGTACCCAACCATGGCCTTTGCAATAAAACTGTTATTAACCGCTTAGGTTATGTGTGGAAGCACGTTACCTTCTCCTTTGCCACCTTATGGGAGAATGGGCAGGAGCCGTCTGCCAGTTTGCACGTCCCCCGGAGAAACCTGTACATAAACCACAGAAACAGGTGGGAAAACGCACAGGCTAATAGAGATGCAAAGTAAGAAGAGCTGCTGTTTCTGGAAGTGTTTTTGCACGTTGTTACAAGCTTCTTTTTAAGATATCCTTAATTGAACTCAACGTGGACACACAGCATCTCAGGGAAAATGTAACAGTAGATAAATGTTATAGCCATCAGATTTAACTATTCAGATTTGTTAACAAAAAATACAACTTCTGCCTCAGTTTGCTATTATGAATGAGTCTAAAAGCAGCAAGCCCACCATAGTTAAGTTGAAGATGTTATTTGTTATGCTTTTATTAGAAAGTGACAGTTGAGGATGTGACGGGACGTTAATAGGTAGATATATGGGGAATGATTGACAACAAATATTCCCAGCCAACCATGGGACATTGCAGTTGGATGAGTGTGGTGCATTCATAATGGGCAAACATTTAAGTTACTCTTCCCAACCCTCACTTAACGAATGCCTCTATGCGTCTCGCAAATAAAATGTGTTTTTCTTTCACTTTTTCATTGAAGTTCAACTAGTCTGGTGATTAAAAAAAGCACACATTTTAATGGGTTAATTCAGCTGTGTATAATGATTTGCTGCCGCGAAACATAATGTTGCTTGATAGCTAGCAAGGAATGTTAGTTAGCTAGCTAGCCAACAGTGGCAATTGTCACTTCCTGTGAGGGTACAGCAGTTTGCCATTTGAGACAACATTACCTGGTTGAAATTCTCACAGTGTACAACGTGAGGTGTCACAGCATAACACTGAGCAATGAAACCACTTTTACTTCCTTAAACCTTGAAGCCGAAAAATAACAACTCTTACTTTACAACTCTATTGGGTTGACAGATGACCAAAAATCCCAAGACTCATCTCTTCCCCCTGAGCCTTATGTATTAAAAAAGGTCATGATCTTGTGTGTCGATTGTTCTTTACCTGGTGCAGACGGCAACCTTGTCCGGGTCGTGGATGTAGGGACAGCTGTTGCCACGGTTACACTTGCCGAAGCGGTTGTAGTACATGCAGTACTGCTTCGGCTGCTTCTTCTGACGAGCATTTCTGATTATGGCAATGCTGCGCTGGACAGCACGGCTTGTTTCAGAAAACACAGACAGACCATTAGGATCCACAAATCAATAACAAACCGCTTGTGGTAACTAAAGAAGACAATAGTGTGCCAGGAATAAAGTTTCAACTCATAACCATGTGAGGAGCTTCGGGTTAAGGTATCCACCGTATGCTAATTTTAATTTTACAAGATTACTTCTGGCTTTACAACACTCAGTGACACTGATGAAAGGCAGTTAATGTTAGAGGAGGATCAAATATAAAAGTCTTGGCTGGATTTGATTTCAAAATAGTTCTGTTCAATGAAGAGAGCCAGAAGGATAGCCAACATACAACTGTTATAGAGTGGCGAAGTCCCTCCCCTTCCGGTGGACCTCCATGGGACCTTATTTCGGAAACATTATGTATAGAGTGGCGAAGTCCCTCCCACTTACTTCCGGGGTATGGGACCTTATTCCGGAAAAGTTATGCATTGAAGTCAATGGGGAGAGAAAACTTATCTTTCGATCCCGTTTGAATTGTGCCATGAATTACACATATGATGTTTGTCAATCTTAAAAAATCATTTCCATGTCAAAAAAGTCACAGTTTGTCGTAAAACTGTTGAAATATAAGACTATGAAAAATACGTAACTAGAAAGACTACAAATCCCAGAGTCGCGTAAGTGATGTCACAATTGTTTACCTCCACCATTCAGATACCTAAGATCAGCGCAATATAGATATAATCTATCTATATGGCGCTGGCTAAGATAAGATAACTTTAACAAGATGCCTGTGTGCTTAGTACCAGGTTGTTATTATACCAGCAATGGGTCTTGCTCGTTCTTTTGCTTCCCGTCTGATGAAACGACCAGGAGTGGCTTGATCAAGTTAGCTACCTAGCTAGTAGCTAGCACGTTAGTTAGCATTACAGCCTTGTCATTTTTATTAGCCTTAACATGAAGTAACATTAAGTAACCCAAAATGTTAAACAGTAAGAGTAGTAGTCATATTTCGTGAACCCTTTGAATAGTACTGTCACCGGTGTGATCATTCTATAATACACCATTTAATTCCGGGGGAGAAATGCTAACGCTAACGTTAGCATCGGCGATCTTTTCTACTTCATGCTATCTGCACAAATGGTTGACATTAAACATTAAAACGACCAGGCAGTTCAGAGAGAATCAAAGGAAGGCAGGCTTTGCATGACATTCTTCAGGACGTGTTTCATTGTGGTGATAGTCAATCGTTTGTTGACAAGACAGTAGTGACGGCCATCTTGGTGACGTGTGTGGTTGACCAGAGATGTACTTCATTGAGCCTTTCACACAAACAAATGTGTTACTTCACAGTTTTACGACACATTTTAATTTTTTTGACTTGCAAAATTATCTTTTAAATTGACAAACATCATATGTGTAATTCGTGGCACAATTCAAACGGGATCGAAAGATAATCTTTCTCTCTCCATTGACTTCAATGCATAACTTTTCCGAAATAAGGTCCCATGGGGCTCAACCGGAAGGGGAGGGACTTCGCCACTCTATTGAAATCAATGGAGAGAGAAAGATTATCTTTCAATCCCGTTTGAATTGTGCCACGAATTACACATATGATGTTTGTCAATTTAAAAGATAATTTTGCAAGTCAAAAAAAAAAAAATGTGTCGTAAAACTGTGAAGTAACACATTTGTTTGTGTGAAACGCTCAATGAACTACATCTCTGGTCAACAACACACGTCACCAAGATGGCCGTCACTAGTACTACTGTCTTGTCAACAAAACGATTGACTTCCCTCACTATCACCACAATGAAACACGTCCTGAAGAATGTCATGCAAAGCTGCCTGCCTGCCTTCCTTTGATTCTCTCTGAACTGCCTGGTCGTTTTAATGTTTAATGTCAACCATTTGTGCAGATAGCATGAAGTAGAGAAGATCGCTAGCGTTAGCGTTAGCATTTCTCCCCCGGGCTTAAATTGTGTATTATAGAATGATCACACCGGTGTGACAGTACTCTTCAAAGGGTTCACGAAATATGACTACTACTCTTACTGTTTAACATTGTGGGTTACTTAATGTTACTTCATGTTAAGGCTAATAAAAATGACAAGGCTGTAATGCTAACTAACGTGCTAGCTACTAGCTAGCTTGATCCAGACACTCTTAGTCCTTTCATCAGACGGGAAGCGAAAGAACGAGCAAGACCCATTGCTGGTATAATAACAACCTGGTACTAAGCACACAGGCATCTTGTTAAAGTTATCTTATCTTAGCCAGCGCCATATAGATAGATTCTATCTATATGGCAATGTTGTTGTATGGAGAAATGAAAACTAGATTTACAAAATAAATACATGTTACATTACATGTTAGACGCTTTTATCCAAAGCGACTTACATACTCATTACTGTGTCCAATCCCCACAGGAGCAATTTGGGGTGAAGTGTCTTGCCCAGGGACACAACGACATGCTGACTGCAGTGGGGTTTGAACCTGTGCTCCCCTGATCCGAACACCAACGCACCAGTCCACTGTGCCACAGCCTCCCTCCTTATGTTGAATAAGTTATTGTCACTTGTTGTTGGGCAACGTTACTAAAGTGTTGACAGTATGTGTAGCCTATTTTAATAATTACATTTTTTTATAGATTCTATCTATATGGCGCTGATCTTAGCTATCTCTTAGTGGAGGAAAACAATTGTGACATCACTTACGTGACTCTAGGATTTGTAGTCTTTCTAGTTGCGTATTTTTCATAGTCTTATATTTCAACAGTTTTACGACAAACTGTGACTTTTTTTACATGGAAATTATTTGTTAAGATTGACAAACATCATATGTGTAATTCATGGCACAATTCAAACGGGATCGAAAGATACGTTTTCTCTCTCCATTGACTTCAATACATTATTTTTCCGAAATAAGGTCCCATGGGGCGGAAGTAGATGGGCGTGACTTCGCCACTCTATAGAAGAAATTGGATATGTATGCGAAAATGCTTCTCATGAGAACAGATGAAACACGTTGGCAGTGTTTTAACCTTACCTGGCTAGATTACGAGAACTGTAGGGTCTGTTGAAAGCTGGACTCGTTAATGGGACCTGGGCAGGGCTGAAGGACCTTCCTACATGTGGACAGAGGGACATATTTCAAAAGGTGTTAGGTTTCCACAGGAAGTCAACAGCAGTAGTGGAGAGATGAAGTCCATGCCATTTCATGTTATTGTCCAGATTCAAATCATGTAAAAACACCCCAAACAATGAGGGCGTCATTTAGATACAATCCAACGTAAACTTAAACCCATGATATTGATATTCTGTACAAACTGTAAAGTCCACTGAGACAAATGTAACATTTGTGATATTGGGCTATATAAATAAACGTTGGTTGATTGATTGAAACTCCTACAAAATGTGGTTTGTTCTGTAAAATATACCAATATTATGTTTTTCTTCTTTTATATGAATGTTCCCGTCTTTGTTGAACAATTTGACCATTCGAAATTATTAGATATTATATATATTATTTTTTTGAAATTATTTCTGTCCTATATACTCATACATTTTTCTGGTTACATTTATATTTAAGTTTTGAAATTACAGACAAAAGGATGGATTGAAAAACTCTTTACTATATTTTTTTAAATGTTCAAGTTGGTTTTCTTTGCAGATCAAATGTTGTTGTATGGAGAAATTAAAACTAGATTTTAAATACATGTTACATTACATGTTAGACGCTTTTATCCAAAGCGACTTACATACTCATTACTGTGTCCAATCCCCACAGGAGCAATTTGGGGTGAAGTGTCTTGCCCAGGGACACAACGACATGCTGACTGCAGTGGGGTTTGAACCTGTGCTCCCCTGATCCGAACACCAACGCACCAGTCCACTGTGCCACAGCCTCCCTCCTTATGTTGAATAAGTTATTGTCACTTGTTGTTGGGCAACGTTACTAAAGTGTTGACAGTATGTGTAGCCTATTTTAATAATTACATTTTTATATAAACACTACCATATACAAATATTTCAAATACTTGAATGCTCCTTGAGCTGATGAGCGTGGAAGAAAAAAAAACATTTTACATTTTGAGTATTTTTGCCATTGCCCAATTTAGTACCGGTACTTACAATGCATTAACTCTTCCTACCTGACATGCTGTGACATGTTACAACAATATTAAAAGGAATTCATTTGTGACAAAGAGATAGGTAGATATTTAAAAGTGCTTTTAAAAAATTGTTTTTATCTTGCATGCCATTGCTTTATCCTAATTGAAAGATTTAAAAAACACTATTAGAATTATTAAGGTATGACCAAAGTGGAGCTGTCCGAGTGTGTTTTTTAGCCAGATGCAATAACAGTCTGATATGTGCCTGGTTATTTATACTGTGGTGGTTTGACACATTGGTGCCAAAGCCAAACGTGACATCCAGCTCGGTCTGAGTACATCATAAACTCTATGTACCCAATGCACTCAACAACACCGGTGGGAAAGGTGTTTGTGTACGGAGGGGTGATGAAGAAGTGCAGGACCTTAAACCGAACACTCATTCTGAATATTTTTTCTTGGCTGTTAATATTCTCAAGAGTATTAAGAGTGCACCCTGTTGGGACTCAAGAAGAGCACAATTACAGGCTGGTGGATCCAGACCAAAAAGCTCCCCTGGGGAAGGATGTGAAACAAAAAGTGCTGCTGGGAAGGCTCCTGAGGTGTGTTTCTGGAGGAGGCAGGATCAGTGTGTTGGGATGCCGGTCACGAGTTGAACAGAATGGAGCTCTTCAATTTGGCCTGCAGGTGTAGTTGCTACAGAATGTGTACTGTATAGGAGAGAAGTGTGTAGGAGGTGGAGGCAGATCCGGGCTTTAATCTGCACCGTCCAGTTCTCCAGACCCTCCCCCTCTCTGCTCTGACAGATGACAACTTTATTATTTCAGATGGCAAATCCAGCCAGCTCCCGTAAGTCTATTAGAGAGCATGTGGGCAGAGCTGCAGCCACAAACATGAATAAACACTCCTTTATCACCTCGGGTGCACACACACACAAACACACACACACACTTGCTCTACTTAAACCCATGTCCAGAATAGGGCTGGGTATCAAACCTCGGTACATTTTTGGTAACGACTTAAATGTGTCTGTCTGTAGCACTCTTTAACGCTGGTATTAATTACAGGACCAGTTCATACTTGTGTTGGCTTGATTTAGATTTAGATTTTGGCCAAAGTGATGTTGCGTTTTGTCCAGGCAATGTTCTTGTCTAGCTGCTTGTGTGTAGCGGATATTCAAGATGTTTTGTTAAATTAAAGAAGGAATGAATGTAGGGGGTTAAGGTAAGGGTTAGGAATTAAGGAATTTGTAAAAGAAAAAAAGGACAAGAGTTGGTATCGTACCGGGTAGTATAAAGTATTGGCAAAAAATAAAATCAAACAAACTTCAAATTGATGTGTTTGAAACAACTAATATTAATAAGCTCAGAACCCCTTGATTTGGTGTGCTTTTTAAGACACATTTTACATACTGTATATTACCAGATTAAAATGTTCCTAGACTTCAGTACACTGCGAGAATAAATAATACATTGAGAATGCCTTTTCACACATTGTGTTAGTTATATTAAACTGAAATTAAATGGTGTAGCCAATAAATGACAACACAGTTTTTAAAGAAAAGAAAAAAAAACATTCAGAAAACATCATACTTAAGCCAAGCACAGCTGATGGTACCCTCACACACACTGTGGTATGTATACTACATAATATATAACAATATAATATATGCATCCCATCCCAATATATACATTTATGTATCAAAGAGGATACAATGGGTTTTGCAGGACACAAAAGGATTTCAGAGAAAATCCACCCTGTATGTTTGGGGCTCTGTACAAACTTGATTTGCAGATTAAATATGTTTCTTTCAAGGAGTATCTAAATGTATATGTGAGCTATAAATGATCAGAGTCGTGTAATTATCATCGTGGAATGAGGAGAGATGTCAGTGGCACATGAAGTAAATTGTGGGACTGCATGAAATCTGTCATCACTTTTGTCAATGACCATTATAGTGACAGTGATAGTACCTGTTCGGTTGATGGACATGTTGGATCCCACGGTGCGGGACAGCTTATTGGCTGACACCCGGTACAGGGAACCACGAATCCAGCACATGCTGCTTCCTCTCCAGTGCTGGTTGGGTGACGATTGTCTGTCGTGGGGGGCTCGCATTCTATTCTGTAGGAAACTCCTGAAAGGACAAGGGACAGAGGAAGAAAAACAGAAAGAAAGATGAAATTAGAGATAAGAAAAACATTTGGAAAATACCCTGAAAGTTATGTATTCATTTAAAGGATTATTCTGTTTTATTGCAATGGTTCATATAATTATCCGTTACTCTGAGGTGGGAGGATACCATCCACTCCCTCAGTTCCAGCCCTCTTTTGCCTGTCTTCTCTTAGCTCTTCCCCTATATCTCCCCGCCTCACTTTATGTTTCCCATCCTCCAGTCTCCCCTCCCTCCCTCCCTCCCTCCCTTTCTCTCTCTCTCCCATGTCACAGCACTCTGTTAAATTGCTCCTCTAATGGAAAGGACGGCAGTGTGGAAATGGAGAGAATTGAAAAGAGGAGAGGAGGAAATCAATGAGATAATAGGCAGGGCAGGGGGCCAGAGCAGCGAGGTTGGCCCCTACACTGGAGCGAAGAGACCACACACGCACACACATGGTATCACAACACACTCCTGCTACAGTATGTACAGTACACACAATCACAGGCCTCCACACTCGCATGCTCCCGCATTCAGAAGTCACTCAGTAGACTTGCGTACGTGCGAGCCGGCAGTGTGTGTGGGGCTTCTGGGCGGTGGGGCGGTGCAGGGGTTATGGCGATAAATTGCGCTGTCCTGTCACTTCTATTTGGGGCGGATTGGGGCTGGTGTGCAGGGTGCCGCTGGAGGTAATTTGCTGCCGTATTTCAGATGGGCTGGAAATGGGTTTAGAGCGAGAGTTCATGCCTCCCATTACAGAGAAAAGAGAGGGTTACCCCGAATGCACGCCGCGCACAAAACAACTGACACGGAAGCTTAACGCGCTGCAGCCGGCGGAGAGCTGCTGCACTGCTGCAAATAAGAAGAAAACTGAGCCAATATCAACTATAAGATGCGTTCACGTAACACGCTCTACCTGACCGCGCGCCATAACTCAGCGGCACAGACACTCAGTTTCACTGATACAAGATCAGTGGCTGCCCTACACAGGGCAACTGCAGCCAGGGGAGCTGTAATGGAGGCTAATGTTGGAGCGCTGACTGCCACCAAGGGAGGCTTAAACAAGGACCGGGTGGCCTCGAGAGCCACAATGGAGGTTAATGGGGATATGACATGAACGGTTAACACAGACGTCGCTTAACCCTGACACAGGTCTAAAGTGATGTTGGGGGGGGGTGTAACAACCAGTCTGTTAGGATGCTTTCTCACTGTGAGAGTCCAAACATCATAGAGATTGTTTGATGAAAGGCTCACACATTAAATGTTAACTGAATTACCAGATAACATTCCGCTCAAAGTGCTGTTCTCGGACAAAGTGCAGTTTATTTGATTTTTTAGTGAGGAAAAACACGACATAGCTCTTACAATTTTTCAAGCAGCATCAGATAGGGTTAGGGTTCTGGGCCAAAAAAACCCCACGATGGTTCATATTGTGTGCATAGTGCAATAATTAAAAGTTTTGTTTCTCTATATATGGAGCATCAGTTAAAAGGGAGATATATTTCCTATAGAGCAGACCTTTGCTAAGAACAAAGGTGCATTTACATGCTCCATGAATGGTTTCATTTCATTTGTGAAGTCGATCTTCCGACTTATGTCGACATTTGCTCAAACAATGAGGCAAGTAGTTCTTCCAAATGCTGCTGACAGAAACAAGAGGACAGACTGACAAGAGAACTTCATTGCAGAAGGCAGTAAGCACAGTTGAACCAACCACGAACATATCAGTGTTTTTCTTTATTTGTCTGAAGCTAATTTCTTCACAAATTAAGTTCTCAGACTTTTGCGAAACTGTACATACAGCCATGTGAATGAGTTACCCCCGCAGGCAGAGCAATATTAGTGCAAACAGCCTCTGTGGGAGCACATTGCCTTTACAATAGGGTAATCTGTCTAATTACAAAGCGAGAGAAGGTAGAAGAAAATAAACAGAGAGCAGAATACCCTTTAAAATAGAGCAGGTGTTTTTATCTGTCTCCTGACTCTCCTTGGCCTGTTCCCAGTGATGCCCTTGACCCCTGGAGGAATATCTGTTATCAGATACCCGCCAGGCCCATCTGATGCACAAATCCTCCTCAGCTGACAACCAAGGACCACTTCAATGGGGATGTCTATTTTCCTGCTACAAGGCCTGAGTATCACATTTATCATACAACTTGCTTGACTATTTAAAGCTGCACTCATCAGTATTTATAAAGATACAATCACAAAATGTAGGCGTAAGTCAAATGTTTCACTTGCTGTGATGAGCCCATGTGAAACTAGCAACCGTTATTAGCCTCTTATAGCTCTTGGTTTTATTTTTAAGGTCAATTTACTGTAAGGTTCAGTCTGCCGCCAAAACAAGGTGTTTGACTTTTTCCCTTATAAACTATTGGCCCGATTTTCATCACATTTGGTGAATAGGTGTTGCCTTAGCCATGGAAGAATCGATTCAATGTTGGAGTGGATCCCATTCAAAGGACAGATACTCAATGTATTTTTTGACACTTTCGATAACATTGCAAAATTGGACATCTGGCCTTGGCGAAATCAAGTTAATTATCAATTGATCTAAAAGACTATTGCTTCCTTTGTAGCGCCAAGCTGCATCTTTAAATGCCTTATGCTCTAACCATAAGTCATTGACCCTCACATTACGATGAAACAAAACAGAGTAGTTAGTTGAAGGTGAAACTACAGTATGAAAAGTTCCAAAGAAAGACTTTACTTGGCGAATGATGATAAATCAAATGTCTTGCCATTCAAATTGCTTTCAACCACATCTGTATTTCACATTCACTTAGTTGTGTTGTGAGACAAAGACAATGACTTGAGGTAAATTAGACCTTTCTTAACTGTCAATGCTGCAAAGTCATACCTCCACTGTATGATTCTATCCCACATTGAATACTGTTTTACAAACTGGTCGTTTGCTTGTGCCACAAACCTGAAACCCATAGAACAGCTGTACAAGAGGGCTATCAAGGTGTTTGACAGAAAGCCTTATTCATACCACCACTGTACCATCCTTGATAAACACCATTTCTTGAGTTTTGACAATTTTAAGTCTTTTAAAAGTATGTGTTTTATTTCTAAATGTTTACATGTACTGCCCCCCCCCCCCCCCCTTAGGGGAATTCATCCACAAAAAAGCACACTGGACGCTGCACTAGGTCAGAAACCAGAGGAGACTGTGAAGTCCACCACAGACGGACCACTTTTGGACAAAATGTCCTCTCCATTAAAGGCAGCTCATTGTGGAATAGCCTCCCTACTGAGATACGGGATTGTCCCACTCTCAATAGTTTTAAAGGTGGGGTAGGTAAGTTTGAGAAACCGGCTCGAGATACACTTTTTGTTATATTCCATGGAATGCTCTTAACATCCCGATAGCAATGAATATCTTAAGTGCTTTGACAAAAAATCCATAAAAAAATATCATCTGTGGAAGCCGTAGTACTGTAAAAAGCACGACCAATCATTTTAGCCGGCCCGGCTAAAATAACTGGATGGCCTACCTGCCTGTCAGCCTTCCATCTGTGCACAAACTTATCTCGTGCACTCATTGGTCATGTGCGCGTTCGTGTGTGTTGGAGGAGGGGCTCTGTAAGGAAGTGGCAGATTTTCTCCGGTCGTGTATTTTCAAATTCTAGCGCACTCGAGCTGGTTTCTCAAACTTACCTACCCTACCTTTAAAGGTCAACTCAAAGAATGGATGAGAAACAAACAGACGTGCAATCACCGCTAAATGCACTTTAACACAGGGGTCTCTCCTCTTGCACTTTAGGTAGCTCTTGTATCTTCTCTTGCACTTTATATGTCGTAGCTGCTATATTTTATTACCATGTCATAAATACTTGTGTATGCTGCTCTTGCTCTTTTGCACTTTTTGCATATCATGTATTTTGTTTTTACAATGTTTGTAAAATATAATCTTCTTAAATGTTTCATGTGAGGGACTGCGGATGGAAATTAGCTCAAAGCTAAATCTGGCACTGTTACGCTTGATACTTTTTAATGTTTTCAGTGTTCATTACTGTGCATTGTCCCTGTCAAATAAACGATCAAATGAATAAATAAAAGGTTGCGGTACAAAAGAACATTGACTCTCCAAAAAGAAAAAAAAAGGTAAAAATGTTGAGAAAAGGAAGAAATGAAGGAGGGTGCAAGGGCATGCAGAAACTCCCCTGTGACTAGTCTGCATGCGTATACTAAAGGTGGTTGTGTGCGTGTTTGCGCACTGCTCTGACCATGCGATGCACGGATAAAGGAGAGCGCAATTCAGCACTACCGCCGCTGTTGATGAATGATCCGACTTTTGTTTTAGTGACAGGGAAGAATTTGGAGGGTCGCGCGACTGCTCCGAATAATGCTGCCCTTGTCTATTTGTCTGCAACCCAAGCATTAGTAAGCTCATATTGGGAAACAGTTACCCTTGAAACAGAGCACAGCAAAAACAGTCATCTGGCTAATTCCAACAGTAAGGACTGCTGCTATTCTTCGGGCACTTAAAGGAAACCAAAGCGATGTCGTTACGCAATCACGATCCTATCAAATCCAACTTAAAGAGAGCCGATGTAATGAGCAAAATCCTCTCTTATGGTGGGTAACACATTACAAAGCAGCCTAAAGAGTGTTGGTGTGGATTACAGTGTGAACAGCAGCCGAGGAAGATCACAACATTCGGCTGTAGGTGACGGATAGATGACTAATGTGATAAGTAATGAGTAAATGAATGAATTGGGGTATAAAAGGGGATGAATGAGGGAGTGAATGCGGGGAAAAGGAGGAGAGAAGTGAAGAAGAAGGAGCGCTGCTTCACTTTATTGCCCAGTCTCTTACATCCTGTACTGATCGATACTGAAGCACTAAAGGAGATGAGCGCCTGGACCGTGTGTGTATGTGTGTGTGAAGATATATACAGTCAAAAGTTGTCTACTTATTTGGGGGTCCTGCCATGTTAGGGGCTTAAACAAGTTAGAAAAAGACGCAAGTAGAAGCCAAGAAATTTGGATTAAAAAAAAAGTTGATTTGTGTTTGACAATAAAATAACGAATAAAAAGACAGAAAACAAAAAGAAAGCAACAGAGCAAACGCACGGGTATAGAAAATAAGAGAATAGACGACGAGGGAGAAAAAATAGGGAGGGTTCGAGAGGGATAAGGGGGAGGGTTGGGCTGTAATTTATCTGTCAGTGTGCATGCTTTACGGCTTTCTTAATTCAACTCCTGTTACTATTAATGGAGTTAATGTTGAGATTATATCTATTTTCTGGTGGCTTGGGTTGAAATACTGCAGACGATTCCCTCGCCCCTTTAAACGACCGTCCGGCACTAAATCACCGGCTACGCTTGTTATGGATGGAAACAGGTAAGAGCATGGCATGCTGGGTAGGGAAACATCTCTTCCTTTGGAATGGTAAATGATTAATTGTGGTGTTAGTGAAGGTATTTTTTATCTCAATGTTTGATTGAATTTATCAATATTCTATACGTCTTTAAATGTGTGCTTTTAAATGTTTAACGAAAAACATTTTTTTTTTTTTAGCAGTTTGTATAGCTTCTGTAATTGGAAAGTGTTGTACAAATAAACTTGCCCAATCAGACAGTTAGAGCACTAGCCAATAGAAGCGTGAGTGTTATGTACTGATGTCACTATGTCGCAGAAGTAGACAAAGGAGTCCAATGGAGGCGTTTCAGGCAGGGAGTGTAGGGGAGATAGGGCCTGCTAAATGAAGAAACTGAAGCACAAAAAGGCCCCCAGTGCTTTCTCAGTTGGCGTTAATAATCCTAAAATATCTGCCAGAATTTGGGAACCCTTGCACCACCATGCAAGGCTGTTTTTTATTAATTTGTTCCTAAAGCGTGGCCCCGGGTGTGGATTTCAGCTATGAACAGGCACAGAGATAAGAGCAGAGAACGTATGAGGACAGGGATCAGTGGGTCTGATAGGCCAAAGATGAAGAGCAGCACTCAGTAGTTAAGAGCAGAGAATATGAGCTCATGCTCCACTCAATAGCTTCAAACTGATAAAAGTAGAGGGTCTTTGGAGTTAAACAGATAGATAAGCATGAGAAAGGAGCGCATGGGTGGGGGTGAGGGGGGTAATCCACCATCCCTGGGGACCCGACCTGTCCCCCTCCTCTCCCTATCTCTTTCCTCACTTCTACACACTTGGTGATATTTCACAAGATGTCACGGGGCTCAAATTGAAAATCCCTTGATGAATCAATATTTACTGCAGCAGCTAAATGAATAGTAATAAGTCACCAGAGGCTGAGTCCGGCCACAGTCCGGGCCCCTCTGTCTAACCAAATCTGGATATCACAAATGAAGCAACACACACACAAAACAAGCACAAAACTCCTTCACTCATAAACAGGCTTCCACAACAGACACAACCAAAAGACTAAAGAAGAGTAACTTCAGCCCAATTAAGAAGAAAACACAGCAGATACATATGCTGAGGTTTTGTAGTTTTAGGAGCCGTCTCAATTTGTTTTGTGTTAATTCCTAGACCGGACACAATAACGTTTTAGAGCAGCTCCAATTCCTTTATATTACAATCAGCTTCATGTTTATCAGAACTCAGTTCTTATGCGTGTGTGTGTTTCAGAGTGTCAGTTACAGTGTAGTCATACCACATACAGTTTCCAGGAAGAGCATCCTGTTATTTTTATTACAGGATGCTTATTATTACTCTACAGATTAACAGATCATCTAATACCAACCAGGACAACCTGAGCTATCGCAAACATCAAACAGCCTGCAACTGAAGGAGAAAACAAGCTCAACACCACGTCTTTTCTTAGTGACAAAGCTATGACTAAGGCCTTTACTTAACGGGGACCTATCATGTCCCCGGGGTGTCAGGGAACTCACAAAGTGTCAGAAAATACAACCCTCTCTTTTCCGCCGTGCGCAAATCTCTAAAAACGGGGGAACAATGGAGCTGATCCAGATTTGCTGCCGATATGACCTAATATCTGAAACGTGGGCTGGCTTTACACCCACGGCCCTATCAGAAACGTTGCTATCAGAAACAATACCCGACTGTTTTGAAAGTAATATGGTCTTTGTTTACATTATCAAGCATCGCTAACACTCAGAGCCAAGCTGTACTGGAGAAAGCATGTGTGTGAAGAAGCAGGAAATAAAAAGGAACTCACCGTGTGGTAAACCCGCAAGAGAAAAAGCATTTGAGCTCCATACTGGTTCAGAAATAATCCTTGATGTGGTTTGGAACATGATATGGCGTTTAATCACGGCAGCATTTAGCTGACAATCTGCCTGTAGAATCTCCCGCATGAGCAGGCATAAGCTCCGCCACCTCTTTAAAAAAAAAAAAAAGCTTTATACCCAGAATCAGCACTTTAGTAACAGGGCTGAAACAGAGAGGTATGAGGCATGGCTAGAATGGGTGATCTGTTTGGTATTTTGAGCAAAACACTTCATTGACATGTTTTTTATATTTTTTTAAATATCTGAGACCTATGCTATTGCCTAAAAGCATGATAGGTGACCTTTAACGTTTTCCACCCAATAATAACCTCCTCATAAAGATGATTTAAAGGGGCCCTATTATGCTTTTTGGGGGGGTTTATTTCCCTGTAGTGTGTTATATTGTAAGTGTTAAGTAGTGATGTCACTCCCTCTGGGAACTTTGGGATTTTAGCCTGCAGACCATTTACATGCACAGAAACCTATATTCATTTCAAAGGTTTGAAATGAAATGAAATGAATATAGGTTTCTATCACGACATCACTACTTAACACTTACAATCCGACCTCTGCAGCTCATCCAGAATGCAGCAGCTCGTCTGGTCTTCAACCTTCCTAAATGTTCGCACACCACACCGCTCCCTTCACTGGCTTCCAGTAAATGCTAAAAATCCACTTCAAGACACTGGTACTTGCGTACCATGCTGTGAATGGTTCTGGCCCTTCCTACATCCAGGACATGGTTAAACCATACACCCCAGCACGTGCACTCCGCTCTGCATCAGCCAAACGGCTCGCTGCACCCGCACTGCGAGGGGGACCCAAGTTCCCATCACCAAAAACACGTCGGTTTGCTATCATGGCTCCAAAATGATGGAATGAGCTCCCCATTGACATCAGGACAGCAGAAAGCTTACACATCTTCTGGCGCAGACTGAAAACTCATCTTTTTCGACTCCACTTTGAGCAATAAAATGAAAAAAAAACAAAAAAAAAAACAAAAGCAAAACAAAATAAAAAGCACTTGCATACTAACAAAGCACTTATATACTAACAAAGGACTGGCTTATCTAAAGCCAGTTGAGTAGCACTTAAAATGGTTTGGCTCTATGAAACCTGATGTACTTATATGATTCTGTTTTCTTCAAGTTTGTATCTTCTTGGTTGAATGCACTAATTGTAAGTCGCTTTGGATAAAAGCGTCAGCTAAATGAAATGTAATGTAACTTACGCTTCTGTCTAGCACTCCAACACATTTAACGTGAAAGGTTACTCGGAAAGGACATCATCACCACAACCTGGTATATTACACAGCAAGTGAGTTTATGCACAACTAAATATGCAAGTAAATATGAGATTTCAGATTCTTTTACAAGCTAGTGTTGTAATAATTTATTGTGCACAATTTTCTTTTACACATTTTCTTCCAGTGTCTCAAATTTGTGATTTTTGGGTTTTATTTTATTTAATCTTAAAATGCATGAATTTGTATTTTTGATTTAGAAACTACAAGCAATTTGAAAACTCAACGTTGAGCTTTAGAGGACAAATTATCTTATTTATGGATTACATTTGTGAAAAAAAGAATAATAAAGACTAACCTTAAATTAAGTTAGTCATTACTTGCATGCCCATTTGACATGTTTTATTCACTGTGTATTCGAGACTCATTGGTAGATTAAACCTTGTGTGAGAATGCTAGAATAATAGAGGGGCTGTGGGAGATGGAAGTTAGATGAATGAAGGGGGGTTGGGAGAAAGCGGAGATAGGAGTTGTAATGACATAAGAAACAGATCCACCCACCCGCCCTCCCTCTATATCCTTCCTGTGTAAGGCGCTTCTGGTGTAAATTAATGTGAGGAGCACGCTGGTGTAAATGGTTTATTCTCTGGGTTATCTACTGTGTAAAAATGAGCGCCATAAATTCCCGACCTCTTCCACTCATGCCGCACGTGACACTGACATTAAAGACAGGGCGCTGCTCTGCACTGAGGGATATTAGCCACCGAGACACATTAAACCCGGACCTGCGGGAGGTGTGTGTGTATTTGTCTTTGTGAATGTGGATTACCTGGCAGACTGGATCCTCTTAGCTCTCCAAGACAGGGCGGGGTTGTAGTGGAGGGTGTGTGCCGTGCTGGCGGAGCCCGGGCGGGTCACCATCTTGTAGCGTGTCCTGAACACCCGAGTAGAGGCGGGGCTACGGTGAGAGGAGGAGGCGGGACCTGGGAATAGCAAAATTGGCGGATCAGTATGAAAGTCTGCAAATTAAAATCTGATCGCACACAGAAATGAAAGAAATGGTTTAACATCCAGTCAGTGCGGGAACAAATATACATCTTATGAATGCATTAAGCTCGCACAAGTTTTTCTGAGGACTCTGGCAGGTGTGCTCTTTAATAAGCTTCACAGATAAAAATGAGAGGGAATAACAAAGGCAGAATTTTTATGAGCCTAATAAATCATATGCTCTGTCTCTTCCCTCGCTGCCTTCATCCCTCCTGCCTGGCCTCCCTCCCTCCTTCTCACTTTAAGTCTCATTCGTTATATCATTTTACAGATCCATCAGAGAAGAGGCGAAAGTGTAGAGAGATCGGAATAAAAAAAAAAGAAGAGGACAAAGTGTTTTTATTTCTTTCTTTCTTTGGCTGTGTATCCATCATGTTGTTTTATGATGTCCTATGCCGGGTGACTTACTCGCACAAAGAACAGAATTTGCATTGTGAGCCGTCTAAGTCCCTGTTCACATCAGTTCGTAAGCCCATTGTGGGTAATTGTAGAGGTTTGTATCTATTACAAATTAAGTTGAGAACAAGATCAAAATAACTCAATTGAGGTGAGCTCGTTTTTCTTCAACCAATCAGAATTTGCCACAACGTCTGTAAGCAATATTCCTATGACTCATTGCATAATAACAACCTTTGTAAAATTGAAATCCTGATTTGGTTAAAGAAAATGAAAAATTCCACAAATCAACTTTTCCTATACCTATCATGACCTGTGTGAAGCATCTGACTTCGTTGAAGGGATATCACAATGTTCCCACTTCTTAAAAATGATCTTTGTGTGAACAATAGTATTACCAACTGACATAGTGGCCAAACTGACACAAATCAGAGTCCGATTATATAGAACTGTTAGCTATCCAGTTGTGCCAAGAGAAACCCAAAGGAGAAGTTTGCTTTCCCGCTTATCAATATTAGCATTCAAAATAATATTACCATTGGATGCACCTCGCTTACCAAGTAAGCTATCTATCGTTAACTAAAATGTGCATTGCAACCTGGCCTTGTCATTTGTGGCTCCGAAACACAAAGATCAAGATGGCCAAAAAAGTAATGGATTTAAAACAGTTGTCAATAAACTAATGTGTGACATCACCATGGCTACACCCACTTCTTTTATAAAGTCTATGGTACCAAGATGTAGTAAACTAGAAATATACTCCTCACCAAGCTTTACAAACCTGGGTAAAAAGCTTTGTGAAAAAAAATGTTTTCGAAAAAGCCTTTAGAAATTATATTTGCCACAAGCCTCATGTCGCTGCATGAAAATGTAAAAAGCCTTCCACTACCACAGCCTGAAAAAACGTAATGCAACATGAATCAGTTGCTCCCCGCATTCATTTAAATTATTCCACCCCCCCCAAAAAAAACACTTGCATGTAATTATCTGTACTACCTCTTCCCCCAATCATTCACTATGGTGGTCAGTGACAGCACTCTGTCTTCCTAATGAGTAGAGAAAAGACAGAGGGAAGAGAGGTGTGAAAGAGGGATTAAGAATGAGTTTATGCACCCGATGAGGAGCTCATTTCCTATCACCTCTTTCACAAGTCTTTAATTGCCAATTGTCAGGATTGTTGCCGTTTTAATTAGCGTCCAATAACAGACCGTGACCACGAGGGTCGCGGTGACAAACCATAAAATGATTCGATTTCCACTTCTACACATTCCAGCTTCTCTCCCCACTCCTGCCCCCTCACTCTTCCTCCTCCCCCCCTCACTCGTTTCATTTGTCAGCCAGGATGCAGCCCTGGATCAGTTGGCAAATTCATCTCAGACAAACATTTACTGTTGAACAAATCACTGTTTAGAACACACACACACACACTGGGCTTTGCTCCTGCACACACATGTGTATGTATGAAGGGTTTACATCGAGTTAGAATGATAGGTTATACCATGGCTATACCATTCTGATTGGCTGGCAAGTTTACATTTAAATGGGTAGAAGGGTCATTCAACAAAACACACCTAATTTTATTTTGAAAATAAAATCCTGTGTTATGATCTTGTATTATCCCATTCTTTATTTGTGTATTACTTTGTTATTTATTGTATTGCACGTTCCAAATGAATGTATTATTACATTATTATTTACTTTGGCTCTGCAGGATTTATCATTATTTCATTGGGTACAATAATATATTACCCGCAAATCAACAATCTGGGACCTGAGAACACAATATCATTCTTAAAAGAAAAACAGAGCAAGGAACAAGAGCTATCAGACGATCAGTTTGTGTTTTAAACAAACCGCGGGATTACTAAACTTATAAGAAACAGAACACAAAGGCAATCAATCTCTAAAATAACTTCAAAAAAGTGTTTCAACGATGCCATTCTTAGGGCATCATCCTTGATCAATCTGCTTTATTATGCACTGGAGGGGGGCTAGGGGCTATTATTACCAATGTTTTATGCATATTCACTTTGCATTTGAAGTCAACGGCTTAACTTGTTGTTTTGCTTTGTTTTGATTGTTCCTTTTAGCAATGTTACCGCACTCCAACAATGTTTTCAAAGCTGATAGAAATGATGGCCAAATATAAGAGACAGGCTATGATTAACTGGGATGATCATAAAGCCCAAGGCCAATGGTTATATCAAACGGTATTTTTGTTCCGTTACTGATATCATCCATATTACTAGTTATGTGGGTGAAAAGGGGTGTACTGTATGTTGTGTTATGAAAGAAAGAGAGACAGCACAAGAGCAACAGAGAATATATGGGTAAAGGTGGTGGGGGAGGGGGGTTTGTACAGGATTAGTTGCCTGGCTTGTAGTCACTTTTTCTCCCACAATCCATCCGTATTGCAGTCAGAGTTATTTGGGCGTCATGGCATTTGACAAATAGGGCTTGTCAAAGGTGTTGCCTCGATTCCCACCCTGCAAGCTCAAACACCCCCCTCACAAACCTCCCCCCACCCCAACATCCACCTAACATGCACCTCAATCTGCCTCTAAAAACCCCTCGGTCCAACATCATGACACCCGCAATGTCCATGACGATGTCACACAGCTGTTCCACCTTGTGTTTAATGACATCTATAGTGAGCTGTACTGTTGGTGTGTTTCCCTCAGTGTGCGTGTGTGTGTGTGTCAGCAGGGATGGATGGACGGTGTTGCTCTGATTGTAAACCACTGCAGGTTGTGTTGCTTGAGTGGCTCTGGGAGCAATGGGGTCTCAATCTTCCACTACAGGACCATGACCAATGAGCATGTAAGCACACACACTCACACACATATACACCTGGGGTCTCAATCTTCCCTTAATAGACCTTTGACAGTGGCCTGCCTTGCAATGTGGGGGGAGCGAGCCAAGTGGCGCCTTGTGAGGCGAAGACACCGTTTGTAGACGCATGCAGCTCGCACGCCATCCATCCATCTTTCTGACTCGCCGCTGTGAATCCACAGATAATCTACTCTAGTCGCCACGCGCAGAACACTACGCTCCTTCTGCAAGTAGAGTGCCTGTTAGCCTCAGAGTCACATCCATAGAGAGTTTTGGCCATTTTTGGATCAAGTAGTGAGACATCCATTTCTAAGATATGGGCAACCAATACAATACAAGAAGGGTGAGTTTGTTTGTGATAATCATGTCTATGGATGCACTAATCAGAACATATTAACATTCATTTAAAAGATCAACAAACCGCCTAAAAAAGCGGCCTAAACTACTTTTTATTAATCAATTGTTTTCTGTTGATTGAGCTTTAATTGACTTATTGTTTCAGCTTAAATTACTATATTCCTTAGTGTTTGTATCAGCTTTTAGTATCGCAGCATTCCCTTTCTTCATGAACCCTTCGATTTCGTACAAGGAGGTAGCTACACATTTTTATAAAAAAAGAGAGCATTGGTATAATATCGGTGTTCAGCTTTGGCTGATATCAGAAGAGAAAAGGTTGGACTGGACTGGTGCGTCCACATGGACACCCTTAAAATATGACATTGCAAAATTCTACCAACAGATGTCAGAAGGAATAAACATCCTATTTATGATAATATTTGTTGGTATAATCTTTAATGATCTGAGAACGCAGAAACTTTACAAGATAAGAACCCCATTCAGTCAGATCTTTAAATGTAATTTTAGGGCTCAAACAAAGGCGAAGCTTTAAATTACTTTCTAAATGATCAACTGTAATCATCACAGATCACAGTTTTCCTGTGAATATAGGGATCTTTAGATATACACCATTTGTATTTGCTTTAATATAAATGGTTAACATTTTATGAATGAATCGATTTTTTGTTTACGACCTGTGTACATTTACATTAATCTCAGTTGTAATAAAGGTGGAAGCAGATACAAATAAAACCACCACGATCTGCATTGCTAAAGATTACCAAATGTCAGAAGGGTAAACCAAATCATTGTTTTTTTCCCGCCCTTATCCTCTCCGTAACACAGATCAGGTCTGATCCTCTTCTGTTAGTCCAACTGAGGAATACGCTCAAAACTTTTGACAGATCACTAATGTAGATGCTGCTTATTCAACATAAAGTGGCAGATGTACCATCACATAAGTGGATCTGGAAGTGTTTAACTAGATTCCCATCCCTAAGATGACTGAGCTTCATTTAAAGTGGCATGGACTAGACTTTGAGTAAAGTTGGCTGCTACTTCAGAGCTTTCATACTTCCATGTTCTATATCTCTCTAGCCTTAGCCCTCTGACTGGGGCTACTGACAGGCCACTGCACTTCCTCCATCCTCTTAGGGATCCCCCAGTGATCCCCCTCCATACCTGACGGCTAATTCCAGGGAACAGCAGTCCCCCATCTGCCCCCTCCCTGTGACGACCCGATGGATAATAAATCTTATTATTGACAGGGCCTGTTCCCCCTGCCAGCCCATGTTCCCGTCCCCTGGGGCTCATCTTCTGACTCCCACTGCTCCTTCGCTCTTAAGGAAGACAGCGGCGCCATGCTAACATC